TTATTTGATTATTTTCGATTTTTCAAAGATATTATATGAAAATAATCGATTGAATATAATCGGTTATTTTACATAATCGATATTTTGGTTATTTTTTTAAAATTATCGATTTATTGGATAATCAGCTTTTTAATAATCAATTATTTTCGATAATCGAATAATCAATTTCAAAGGAAATATGAAAAAAGGATTATTAGAAAATAATAGATAATTCGTTTTATTTTTTGGAAAATCGATTTATCATAGAATCGGCTTCTTAATTAATTGGTTATTTTCGATTAGGCGATTATTTTGGAATTATTGATTATTTTTGGTATTTCAAAGATAACCGAATTATCGATTTTAAAGGAAATACAATAAAAATAGATTATTGATAATAATCGATTGATCGAAAATAATCGATTATTTAAAATAATCGATCATTCTGTTTTTTTTTTTTAAATCGATTTGTCAGTTAATCGACTTTTTAATTAATCGAATATTTTTGAAATACAATAAAATAGGTTATTGGTTATAATCGATTTATCATAGAATCGGCTTCTTAATTAATTGATTATTTTCGATTAGGCGATTATTTTGGAATTATCGATTATTTTCGGTATTTCAAAGATAATCGAATTAACGATTTTAAAGGAAATACAATAAAAATAGATTATTGATAATAATCGATTGATCGAAAATAATCAATTATTTAAAATAATCGATCATTCTGTTTTTTTTTAAATCGATTTATCAGTTAATCGACTTTTTAATTAATTGATTATTTTTGATTAATCGATTATTTTCGATTTTTCAAAGATTATCGAATAATCTGTTTCCATGGACGAAAAAAAAATGGTTTATTTGAAAATAATCGATTATTTAAAATAAACGATAATTCTATTTATATTATATTTTGTAAACACTGATTTATCGGTTAATTGGCTTTTTAATTAATCGATTATTTTTGATTTTTCAAAGATAATCAAGTAGTCGATTTTAAAGGAAATGACAAAAAATATATTGTTTGAAAATAATCTATTGATCGAAAATAATCGATTATTTTCAATTATCGATAATTTATTTCGATAATCACTCATCCCTAGCGACCAAATGACTTTTAATAGATTTAAATTTTAAAATGTTATCTGGTTTCAGACATATGCATTTCTAGAGTTTTATGTGACTCATCCTTTATAATAATTAATATTCTTAAAGAAAGAAGCCTTAATATACTTTTTCTGAGGTTACAATACAAAACAGCATTTTCTCATTTTGACTAATTTTTAATAATATGTAATAGCCGTAGAAAAAATATAATGTTCAACTCATAAGGGTAGATTTGCAGTATTAGCCTGCGCACATGCTATTTTTATAATACTCGTAGACAATGAGTAACATTTTTTGCTCTATTAACAATATATTCTATTTCAACATTTTACTGTAATCTCTTGCAGAAAAGTCCGTAGTAAATAAACGCTAACGAAATATTCTATAAAAGGTCTTCTCTTTACATAAAATGTCGTGGCATCTGTTTGATATTAAAAAATCACGATAATTTGATTTCATAATACAAAATTCGATTAAACACCTTTTAAATAAACCTAATAGTTCATTAAGTTGCTAATAAACAAAGTCCGGTCTCTGTCACAGAGTTCGGGTCGCCGCCCAGTTCCCCCACTCCGTTAACCCTTCTTTAGAAATTGGCAACATTTGCGCAGGTTTAAAACCGGTGTATGTTATATCTCTGGTCTCTTTTATCTAAGAATTTACCTAACTCAAAAGAAATAAAAAAATAAATTTACTTAAAAGGTATAAAGTAGGCACTTAAACACATTCATATGTAACAAAAATTATATAAAAAAACGTGTAAGAGAAAAACAAAGATTTCTCTTAAAGAGTTATTATATGTTGCACGTCAAACAGTATTAAACAACACTCAATTTCTAACGATGCAGTTTTAGAGTGGACTGCTGTTTATACCAAACTGCACCTAGATTTTGTTTTACAAACATATTGTAATATTTATTATGTTAGGTTGCCCCTTATGTTAAGGTGACCATACGTACATAATTTCGCTATATTGTAGAGCCTTGTACAGCAAACGTACAGTAACACGCCATATTTGTCCAACAAATCGCCGTATTTGTCTAGCAAAACGTAGTTATTCTCCAGTAAATGTAATATGTGATACATAATTTACTGAAACGTAAAACTCTGCATGATTCTGTTTTTTATCTTTGGGTTGAAGAGCTAACAAAAAGGTCCTCGCACCTCTCGCGTCTCGCATCTAGCATTGGGTCAAAAAGAAATATGGCCACCCTACCTTATGTCTCGAAAAAAAATATTTTTTTTACGAAAAAAGTCGTTGGTGAGTGTCGTGGAAGAATGATCAGTCGATTTGAGAACATCCAAATTAAAAGGTCCAAGAAAAAATTGGTTAATTAAACCTTGTGGAAACCCCCTCTAGGTATTCCTCTTAAAATATACGAGCCATGAATAATTACTTAAGGTTGGCGTTCGCCTATAGAAATCTGCCGTATATGCGCGGTTGACTTTAAACCAAGCTTTCGAGAAAAATATACTTCCTGGCATTAATTTTAATATTCAAAACCGTTCATGAAGTGTGTCTAGGGGTTGTAATGACTTCTTAAAAAAGGAAGTTGTTCTAAAGTACTCGAAAAATGACTTTGACTTTTGGTATCTAAGGGCCGATTCCACCGTTGTGTTAAACGGAGATTAAAATGACATTGTTAATGTAAAAATGTCATTTTAAACTTCGTTTAACACAACGGTGGAATCGGTCCTTAACCACATATAATCGCGTTGACTTATTTAGGAATTTTCTTTAAAACGAAACATATTTACATGTTGTCTTTCCGTTACATCCCGTACAACCAACACAGAAAAATAATGAAATACATCACACTTCAAAATATTGTTTAGTTTTTGAAACCTTGGTTTAAAATTACATAGGTTTTTTATGAAAACACAATTGTGTGGTATATCACGTGACATAGCGAAAAGTTACAAAGGTAAAATCATTTTTAAGTATTTTCTTTTAAAAATTTTGTAAAAAAAAAATGCGATAAACAGTTTTCGAGACTACTTAAAGGAAGGCGGCAACACGTCGGTGCCGAAGGACATACATAATTTGAAGCTCTATGTCCGAGGTCGGACGTCGAGAACGCACAGCTGCGTATCCGATATCGGACAAGCAGCCACTGCCTTTTTTAAAAGGAACATGATTATAGTAAAATAAATGTATAAACAGGAAATTCCTCCTATCATATAATTTAAAGAGGACGAGTCAAGTTCAAATTCAGATTATTCTCACATAATTTTGATAAATAAATGCATTTTTATTAGCATTTTAAATAAATCCCAATTAAAACGCGGAATGTATGCAATTTCATGCCCGACGCCGACGGCAAGAAATGTCTATTTTTATGCAAAATTTACTTCTAAAGGTTAAAAGATAATTGCATGATTATTTATATGATTTCCGGAGAAGGATCTTCCGTTTCCGTTCTTAACCCATGAACTTAGCAATAAAAATGAAGGGTATAAAAAATTATTCCAAAAAAAATTGTTTAATATATTTTCAAATCCAATATTTTGGAAGACCTTTGGGTTTATTCAATAATATAGTCAATTAATTAAAGACATTGGAATATTAAAATTTTATAAATAATTAATAAGTAGGCGATATCAGTCTACTAAATAGATATAATTATTTCATACCATTCTAGTATACAGTGTTTCATAAAGTTGGATCCGTATGGGAATTTTTTTATTATTACAATTGGAAAAAAAACGTAGAGCATTCACCTCTGCTTTTTAAAAACTTAAAATAGCCCATATTCAAGTTGACTACTGTATTCGTTATCTGTCAAATTCGGTATTTTTTGAAAAATCGTCCAAAAATTTCCTTTTTCTATTTAATACTAATTTGGCAGAAAATTAATGTTAGTAGCCAACTTTGACTTGGACTATTTTTACTTTTTAAATAAGCAGAGGTGATTACCCTATGACATTTTTTCCAATCGTAATATTAACAAAAACTCACACATGGATCCAACTTATGGACACACTGTATAAGGATAGTAAATCAGTCAATCACAGATCACATTTAGTATTCGGCCGACTATACGATATAGTGTGACGTATTTGTGTTCCACTGATAGTTAACTTTTTACAAAAACAAACCATTTTGTCATTGAATTTGACATATACGTTTTTAGTTTTTTTACATATTTATTGCAAGAAAAATTAAAAATCAACTAATTTACCTAACCTGTGCGACCTAGAGCCATCGCGACTTATTATTTATGGGGGCAAAACGGTCGGGGACCAATCAGCACTGGGAAGGAATCGGCCGGGATGGAACAACGACGGGGCAAAATGGCACAGGCGAAACGGTGGGGATGAAACATCACCGTCCCCAAAATTTGTACTTGAGTCCTTTTAAGCGCCGATCACAGATTTGTGATATATCCTGAGATAACTGATTTTAACCTCGTAAACTATGTAAAGCAAACATTTAAAATTTAGGTAAAATCTTTATAAATGTTAGGCTAGTTAAAGAGTGATACTTATTGTTGCAAAACTGTCCTTTACTTATATACAGGGTGTTAGATTATAATTTTTCTAACTTAAGAAAAATCACGTTTTTATTTAAAATGTATTTCCACAAAACCCGTATTTGGTTTTTTTTTTATTTTTTCATATGTTCGACACAAAGCTGTCCTTTTCCATGTTCCGTGGGAAAACTTATCAAGGTCCTTGTATTTTCTTGATATAGGGTGGTCATCTTGGAGAAAAAGGTTTTTGTCACATTTATGTACATTTTAAAAACTACTTTTAGTTATTTTTTCTCAACTAGTTACGTTTTCAGTTCGCTTAAATACAAAATAATATTTTCAGTGCGATATACAGGACGCTCCCCATTTATTTAAAATATAATAACATTTGTTTCATTTTTCAGCTCATATTTTTCAATTTTCTAATTTTTATTTTAGGTACTACCTTCATGATGATCCAATTCCCAAACCTGCCACTCAGACAATTGCCGCCTATGACAACGTGGTGGAAGTCAATGATTTAGAAAGCTTAGATGATCTCCTTGCCGATCCTGATCAAATGAGAATGCAGGCATTGGTAATTAGGGAACGGATACTCGGTCCAGCACATCCAGACACTAGTTATTACATCCGATATAGGTAAGTATTGCTAGAATTTGATTTGTATACCTAATAAGTAATTTATTTTGTAGACAAATCTTTAAGTAATGTTATGGACACTTTTAGAGATAATTTAAACATAATTGCCTAAAACTGCCACAGTAAAAGTTTTGTTTTAATCATAAACATACCAAAATTAAGATTATACCTACATTATTTTTACCTATGCTATAGCAGTAGTTTTTCTTAAATCACGTTAGATATGTAATAATTAATTTAATTGTTACAAATGCATTTTCGCCAGAAATGGAAACCTAATTTGGACACTTGTAGAACCATTAATGGACATTTTTTTTGTTTTATTACTATTTTGTTTAAAACATGATAAATTGATATTTATGATTCAAAAAATAATTAGGAATCTATAAAAGAATAAACACATGAACGTGTATAATTATTAACGATTTAAATTTAAAACAAGAAAATAATATCTTGGTAAATAAATAAATGAGATAAATGACTTTTATAATCATTAATATTCTTCTTCGTCCTCACTGATGCTCTCATGTTCATCACTAGTATCAATAGTGATATCACATTTTTCGCATACAAACTGTTCATCCTCTTCAGAATCTGCATAAGTATTTCCAAGGCTATTCATATACTTAAGAGGAACACAAATTTTATGAACCTTATTTGGGCAGCTAATACATGAAAGCCATTTAGCTTTTCTCTCTAATACATGCTGGTCCTTCCATGCTGTTTGGCACTTATAACATTTCCAGTTTAACATTAGGATTCTAAAATCTTTACCCTTTGTTTGAGTTTTCTTTTTTACGCCTTTTGGTTTTTTGACTTGTAATTTTTTTCTTTTTGTTTTTCTTCTCTTGCTCTTTTCCGGCTTTCTTTTTCTTGTTGTTTTTCTAATTTAAGTGCTTCTTTCTTTTTTTGTTCATGTAACCAACAATCAGATGTTATAACTTGAACGTGGTTTTTCCCTCATTTTGTTCTGAGGCATTTGTTCTTCCTTGGGCCAAAAAAGATATTTTTTAAATGGAGATTCACCAGTGTGCTGTGTTCCGTTAACGAAAATTTCTTGGCAATGTGGTTGAAAATAAGCATTACTTATAGAAGGATCAATTGTTTTTGATGTTGAAGGCTTTGCATTATCGGGAGTTCGTTGGTTTTTCTTTTCAAATGTTATGGCAGCATGAACTTGATGATATTCTTCTGGGGTTATGTGGTTTGTATCCAACTCAGCTGTAACATGTAAATCCTCAATTACTTTTTGCCAGATTTCCTGTGAAACTTCTTCAGAGGGTTTAGTAACTTCTTGACGAACGTGTTCTTCATTTTGGGTGTCTTTGTGGGTGTTATCGTCGATTTCTAATGAGAAGTTTAAAGATGTATTTATGTCAATTATATTACCATTTTTCTCTGAGACGCTAGCACTATTCAATTTTTGAATTCTTTTCCAGGTATTAAACAAGTATTTGTTGACTCCATTCGTCTTCTAAAATGTGTTCCTTCATAATCTGAAGTACATTTGCTGAAATATTAGCTTCCAAAACCTTTAAGAAGTTTTTAATGTCATCATTCATCATGTTATCTTACTTATTGGTATCGTCTGCTTCTTTTGTGTGTTGTTTATGTAATATTTTGGAGTAATCCACGTTGTTTGCATCAAAGGGATAAAGGCCACAAACTCGAAACCCATTTTTAATCGTATCCGGAGACATGGCATCTTTTAAAATAGTTTCCAGTAGTTTGGCAACATGATGTCTCGTCAATTGCTGGTTTTCATTTTCAGTGAGCTATTTTGTTACATGAATTTACCATTTACTTTTTAGTGGATAAAAGACCGCCACATCGAGAGGCTGCAAAAAATGCTACTAAAATAATTTCTTTTTCACGCAAAAACATACTGAGTGTAGAGTCAAATGGAACTTGTGTCTGTCGACAAAAAAAATTACAGGGCGTTCGATGTTATTTTTCGTTAGCCATGGTTCAAATATATTTGCCATGTATTCAAAAAAGACTTCGCTAGTCATCCATCCTGATTCCGATTTTCCTAAGCCTCAACCTTTGGGAAAATTTTTGGCAATTTCTGAAGGCGTTCTCTTGTATGGATAAAGTACCATAGGAGGCGCCATGTTTCCGGATGCTTCAACTGTAATCAATACTGTGAGGTTCTCTTTTTCTGAAGTTTTTGAAACATCATACACTAGTGGAAAAAATTAAGGGGTAAAAAAAAAATCTTAATTTTTTGCGATTTTTCGAGTGGCTGTATCTTTGGTAAAAATGGTCGTACGGGAATAAAAAAAAAGTAATTTGAAGCTTGAAGTGTCTAGTTTATGGATCTTGTGATAAAAAAATTTTCTAATCAAAAATTAGCACAAAATCCAGATGAATATCATGGATAGAAAATTTTTGAATTTTTTTTTTATTTTTATTGTACGGACTTGAAAAAATTTTTCTCGACATAACCACTTTATGCAATGAATAGGTGGTTCCTTTAGCTTCAATTCCTTTTTTTGATGGCCTCAAGATGACCTTTCCTTGCTGAGTTATGAGAAAATGAACGAAAATCCGTAATTTTCTCTTCTCTCGTCCATATCTCAGGAACCAATGGCCGCTCAGAAAATGGAAGGGGGGTTTTGGAAACTTCGATTCATTCTCTACAAGGTGGTGGCATGTTCTTTCCCGAAAAAAAATTCCTATCATGACTGAAGAATTTCGGAAAACAAGTAATTTTGAGGTTTTTTATAAAATCACGTACCACATTGAAAATATTGAGAAAATGACTAATGTTGAGTGTGCATCTTACAGGCCATTGTTCCCTCGAAAGCCCTACAAAATTTCAACCTGTTCCATCAAGCCATTTCATTGTTTCATGCGAGTGAATTTTTGAAGAAATTGAGGATCGCGTTTTTTTCGCTTCTATGGCTCATAATCTGTATAAAAATGAAAAATACAAATTTCCCCTGATTTTTTTCGATATTTTCATTGCTTAAATCGTTTGAAGTCATAAAAATCAAAAATTTCACAAAAAATTAAAAATAAAAATTTGAAAAAAAATCAGGGGAAATTTGTATTTTTCATTTTTATACAGATTATGAGCCATAGAAGCGAAAAAACGCGATCCTTCAATTTCTTCAAAAATGCACTCGCATGAAACTATGAAATGGCTTGATGGTTCAGGTTGAAATTTTGTAGGGCTTTCGGGGGAACAATGGCCTGTAAGATGCACACTCAACATTAGTCATTTTTCCAATATTTTCAATGTGGCACGTGATTTTCTAAAAAACCTCAAAAAGACCTGTTTTCCGAAATTCTTCAAAGTCATGATAGGGATGAAAAAAAATTTTTTTCGTGAAAGAACATGCCACCACCTTGTAGAGAATGAATTGGTTTCCAAAACCCCCCTTCCATTTTCTGAGCGGCCATTGGTTCCTGAGATATGGAGGAGAGAAGAGAAAATTACGGATTTTCGTTCATTTTCGCATAACTCAGCAAGGAAAGGTCACCTCGAGGTCATCAAAAAAATGAATTGAAGCTAACGGAGCCACCTATTCAATGAATAAAGTGGTTATGTCGAGAAATTTTTTTTCAAGTCCGTACACTAAAAATTAAAAAAAAAATTTTAAAATTTTTCTATCCATCAGGATATCTATCAGGATTTTGTGCTAATTTTTGGTTAGAAAGTTTTTTTATTACAAGATCTATAAACTAGACACTTCAAGCTTTAAATCGCTTTTTTTTTATTCCCGTACGACCATTTTTACCAAAGATACTCGAAAAATCGCAAAAAGTCAAGATTTTTTTTTGACCCCTTAATTTTTTCCACTAGTGTATATATTTTTAATTCCCTTTGGGGCCAAAACTTTGCCAGTTTTAGGGCATAAGGAAATTGCTGTCTCATCAGCATTAAAAATGCGATCTCCATTTTCTAAAATATGATAGTAATCACTTTCCTTCAAGTAACTGGAAAGTTCTTTAAACCAGTTACGTATATCGCCTTCAGTAAGCTTTCCACGGTAGCCTGTTAGCTTTTCAGGTGTTTTTAGGGAAATATTTGGATGCCTCATTAAAAATGACTTAAACCATTTTTTCCCTGGAATACCGTCAGAAAATGGATTCTTACGGCCTAACTCTTTTATAAGTTTTGCTACGGTATCAGTTAAACACTGTTTTGTCACGGGAAAGCCGGCCCTTGCAATATCAACAATCCACGTTACAATACGGCCTTCCGTAAGTTGATAAAATCGTTGGAGGTCCCATATTGCAAATTTCGGGACTGATGCCTTTTAGTTTATTTCACAAAGTTATGCGTGGAACACCGAATCTTTTACTTGCGGTTGCAATGGGAATGCCTGCCTTTGCTGCGGCTAATGCTTCTGTTATATTTTCAATGGTATATTTCCTAAATTTCTTTTTATCCATTATGTTGAAATCTGAAAAAAATGAATGAACCAATCATGGACATACTCAATTATCCCTAAATGGACATTATGTCCAATACTGGATTTCTTTTTAACAATTTACTGTTATTTATATTAATCAACAGCAGTTTTTATAGTCATTTAAACTCAACTAAAATCAACTGAGACATTTTTTTCCTTAAATAGACATTGTGTCCATTTAGGGTACTAATATGAACTTAAGATCCTATAATGGACACCTAACCTAAAATATCTAAAATTTAAGCCGTCCTCTTTGTTGGTAAATAACAAGGTTAATACATACCTTATACAACACCACAAACAAATCTACGGGAAAAATAAAAACTTTGTGTTTGGTAGCTTAAATAAATTACTGCCGTTCTTATTACTTGCGTTAACGAATGTCTCTAAATAGGTTAACAGCAAACACGCGATCATAAAACGTTCGGATTTTTAAACATGACGTCCTCTGTTAGCAGAAATCGCAAACAAAACATAAAACTATATAATTTAACAAAAGATATTAACATATTTACAGGTATCTTCAATTCACAAGTATCTTAATACCAGGCACTAAATTGTAAAGTGTCCATTACTGGTCCCTTGTCCAAGACTGGTGCCACTACCCTATAGAACAAAAATTATAGAAAATGCGTAATTGCAAACAACTTTTTTGAAGAATTTTCTTAAAAATTAAAATTTTCTTAAAAATTTAAATTTTCTCCATTCGTGAGATATTCCTTAAAATAAAAACGACAGTTTATAAAGTATCCCCCCAGATGCTTTAACTATGCCCAAAATTTAATCAGCCCCTCGTAGGATAGATTACAGCTTAAATTTTAAAAATTTTGTTTTTCTCTTTATCCGTTTTTTTTTTCTCTTCAAAATTCGAAATTTGCACTTTTTCTCAAATATCTTGAATACGGTCCATTTCAGAAAAATTATGTATAAAACAGTAATTATAGACAAACAATTTTCTTAAAAATTTTAATTTTTTACTCTTCGGCATATTTCTGAAATACGGACCATTTTAGGAAAATTTTGTATAGGGCAAAAATTATAGAGAATGACATTAGAAGCAACTTTTATTCGAAGAATTTTCTACTCCTAGCATAAATAACAGGTATATACCATAACGTAGGATGGCTTTAAACTTAAATTTACAATTTAGTGTTTATCTGTTAATCCATTCATGAGTCGAAAAAATCATGATTTCTATACTTTTCTTTTCTGTATACAGACAGGAAAGTAAAAATGAGGAATATATTATCTAATAATGATTTTTAACTTTCTAAAAAAATATTCAATTCTTTTGTGGAAGTCAAAACGGAGATGACCGTCCTGTCGTTTTATTTCTTGAAACATATTCCTGGTCTGTCTCTAGGACTTAGGTGTTCAAGGGTGGCAACACAGTTGTAAAAAATCCAAAAAGTTGAGTCTGCAGTATTTCATTGATATCGCCCTTAGCTAAATATAAATAATAAATTCCATAGGCAGCTTCTAAACAATTTGAAATAATGAAATAATGACGAGACTATTCCATTTGTAAATGTTTTCCAGGGGAGCCGTGTATGCGGACGCAGGGAAATTCAATAGATGCATAGAACTGTGGAATTACGCGTTAGACATGCAACAGAGCATGTTAGAAAGGTTGAATCCGATGACGCAGAGCAGCCTCTTTAGTTTTACCGAACTCTTCTCTTTTATGATGTGCGAGGAAGGTAAACATAGAGGTACCAGGGGACGAGTGGTACCATCCGTCGATGTAGCGGAAATTCTCAGAGTTTTCAATAAGGCTGTTAAAGAAGTAGAACTAGGTAAGGAAATTCGTAGATGTTGGTTACAAACTCAAAAAATATTAACTGGTAGCTGATATATAACGAAATTAGTATATACAAGTATTTTTTTAAATAAAATCCTTATTTTCAGGAAGTATAATGATAGAAAGGATGATGAACAGCAAAGGCGATCTCAATTACTTGACCCGTGTCATGGTCATAACCCTCCATCTAGCCTGTCTTCTCACTCGACTCCTCGATCATCATACCAGCAGTGACGAGGTGACCAAAGAAATACATCAAGCGATTTACAACTTGGTGAAGCTCAAAGTGAAAGCGAAGAGCGGAAGAACGATGCTACATTTGGCGTGTTGCAGGGATGTTGCCATATTGGGGAGGTATCCTGCTTGTCAATTTCCATCTCCTCATTTAGCAGAGGTGAGTAAAAGCGTTTAAGAATACCATTATTAAATGTCTCCGTCATATATCTACACTGTTCCACCTTGTCTTCTTTTTATGTTCCTGAGAGTAAATGTGGCACCTAACGCAAACATCGCTTTAATAGACAAATATGTTCATTCTCGATTGTTTGATTTACTGCCGATAAAACGCCACTATTTTAACTGTGATGGATAACTCTGTGATGTGCCATGAGCCTGAATTTACTAGGAATACAGGGTGTGCCACCCCATCTTATCAGAATTATTATTTTTTGTTTAAAAGTTTGGTTGAAGAACTTTATTATAACGAATTCAATTATTATTCTGTGACGTCATGGTTTACTTCTGGTTTTTATGAAAATAACAGTAAATCGTAATAAATTTTTTATTTTTTAAATGAAAATCCCCATTTTTATCGAAAATTATAATTTATTAAACATTTTTGAATCAGAATCTTTTATTAAAAATGTTATTAGCTGTCAAAATGGCCGCCATATTGGATATTATTTTTTAAATGTGTAAATTCATTTAAGGAAGAAAATATGGGAATTCATTACCTTTAAAAACTCTTTGTAAGCCTTATATAGAAGATAAAAGGACTGGAATTTTTAAGTTGCCCACCTTGTGAAGCATACAAAAAATATTTCTTTTTTTCAGGTTTTGTTGAAAGTTGGTGCTGACCCCAATCTAAAAGACGAAGACGGCAACACCCCTCTCCACCTTACCGCAATGGCCAAACCGTGCCCCCCATCCAGCGTAGTTCAAGTTCTTCTCGCTAATGGCGCCCACATCGACACCGTCAATAATGTCGGAGAAACGTTCTCCGATCTCCTCAAAGGCCAACCTGTCCACCAGCTTGTCAACACAGTGAAATACACCAGACTGAGTTGCACCGCGGCGCGCGTCATTAGACAGTTCAAAATACCCTATAGGGGAATCGTACCTTCTGCGCTCGAGTCGTTCATTGCGTGCCACTGAAGTTTTTTTGTGATTTTTAAGTTTTTTTAAATTTCGGGTCGAAACGGTAATGTCCCAGTTTAAGGTTGATTTTAATTCTAAAAATTTAGCGGTTTGATTTGTAAGGAATGTCTTGAAATCTGTTTTTACCATTATATAACTGCTATGTTCAAGTTTAATTATGACATAAAAGATGACGTTGACATAATATAAAAAAATGACTGATGACATTCAAAATTAACTTGACACATCTAAAACAAAAGAGTTATCGCCACTTGTCACTTTACATACAAACATTGCGTTCGGTCTGCCAAGTTCCTTTAACACTTTTTACTTCAAACGACCCTTTTAGCGTTCGGTTTAGTCCAATTAGTGGCAGTTTAACCCGCTTAAATGTCATTTAAAAGCACCCTAAAAACTCCGCGTTTGTCCCGCTCCAGCCCCTGACTATCCGAACTCGCCTACTAATTAGTGTTATCGCAAATGTCATTTGTCAGAACTCAAGTATAAATAATCGAATATCTTATAATCATTATTGTTCTTAGATCGGTTCTATTATCTTCTATTGACATTGACCATTAAAACAATAAAATATTTAGATGGTTACTCACTAAGAGAAAAATGTTTTCTTGTTTACTTTGTTTTTTCTTGTTTACTTTGTTTTTTCTTGTTTACTTTGTTTTTCTTGTTTACTTTGTTTTTTCTTGTTTGTTTGTTTTTTTTTTTAATTATTTCCCAACGTATAGGATCTACAAATGGATTCTGAGCAAACACTTCTCACATCTCTACTAAATCATTTTCCGATGTAAATCTCAAACGAGTTTTATCATTCAAATTCATAGTTTTAAAATCATACACAAAAACCCTTTGCCTCAAAAAAAATTCTATTTGACCTATGAGAAACACATTCCATGTTTCTATGAACCAAATGACATTTGCGAAATAGCCCGAAAAGCTCTGTTCATATACGAGTAAGTTACTGTAGTCCAATTATAAGATTTCTGTATTTTCCAAAAGTAAGGAAATACCATATTCTCGTTTAACACTGTTTTACTAAAATATTAAGGTGCATATGCGTAGCTATCGAAATAAGGTTACATTAGTGGCGATTCACTTTTTTAACTTCAATCGACCCTTTGGCGTTCGATTAATGACAATTCAACACAGACCGTTAAAAATACTCTAAAAAAGTCGTGTACCGCTACAACTCCTTACTAACCGAACTCATCTTGAATAAGAGACTTTTATAATATTTTGCATTTTTAACTTTACTATTCATGAGTATGTAACAAAACTAAACTCGTTTACTGACTTTAAAGTGATTTAAATTATTATTGTAGGTATTTCGTTATTATCTGTAGGGTAAATCCCAATTTGATAATTTTTTAACAGTGTAGTCATTGAAAACGTTTTCAAAAAAACTCAAATATAAGAAACTTGCATTACTTCTAAAATGTAGCCAATACGGTCCTATCTAACTGAAATAATATGTTTGAAGTTGTTACCATTCACTTCAACACAATTGTAAACGCATTCATGTCTTCTTATATGTCTTCCACTATATTCCCACAAATCATTTGTAACCCTAGCCCATTAAGACAGATTAATCAAAACTCTGGGACAAGGAAAATCGTTCAATATACACTGATGCGGCAGCTGCACTTTGAAGACACTCGTCATAAATAAGAAACATTCATAAGTTCATTTTCGTCATAATTTACCATACTGAGCAATTTAAATTCACTATGTCAGATAAACACACTACTGAAATCACAAGCGACTGAATTACAATAACCTGTACACAATAAAGCTGAATTCATAAGAAAAACCGAAAGAAAAAAAAATTATCTAACTTTTCATACACAAGTCTAGGCTCGGATTTAGATTTTTAAATTCTGTATCTTATTTTTGAGTTTTTTTTTGAAAAATATGTTTATTTTAACGACTTCTGTGGATTCACTTAGGATTCACCCTGTATATTACAAAATTTCTATGGAATTTGAAACATCGTTTATTTTTTGCAATATTTGACATAAGACACTTGACGTAAATCCTAAATTTTACTTACAAAAAAAATTTTTTTTTAGCAAAATTGGTTTTAAATTAAATCATAAAAGTTTTATTCCAATAATTTTTATCATCAACTCGATATTAATGGAATACAGTTTTTTAAATGGTCTTTATGTATCAGACTTTTTGCAGCTTAACTTCCTGTTTTGTCACTGACGTACTTTTTTGACAAATCGTTTTTGTTTTTTGTTCAAAAATATATAAAATTAATATTAAACTGGTATATGACCGTTTGTGGTGATTAAACAAAAGACTATTGAGGAAAAGTGCATAATATTGTTAGCGACATGTTGGTTTCTGAGGGCTACCTTTTTAGAGCATTTCAGTCAAAAGTTCAAATCTATTTTAATTATACTGTATCGATATTAAATATCCCATAAAACAATATACAAATTTTAATTAAGCAGATTTTATTATTGTCTTCACGAATTGTATTTATTTTTACACTTTGGTTCATGCAGAATCTGAGAATTCCGATATATTTTCAGGAATGATTGTCTTAAATTTTCCGAGTTATTAATATTAGAAAAATCAATTTCCCTGTGATCTCCGAGAATTAGTAATCTCTCAAAAATATTTAACTTTTAACTCATTATCTGTGTGAATCTTGATATCTTTTTGTAATCACATCACTCTTGTTTTTTTTTTTTCAAATAATGGTTAATAATTATTTTTATTATTTACTTTATTATGTTTAATAACCGTTAGATTTGTTGCACTTATTAAGGATTAGTTTTTTACCTCTTTGATTGCACTAATCGCCCTGTAGAAACTGCTGAAGCATTTTAGAATCGAAAGAATATGTGATATAATTATACTATTTAAAAATGCGCAGATAACGGCAAATATTTTTGACTGTGTCTATCTGTTGATATTCTTGTAAGTAAATTATTTAAAAAAATCGTACAAAAAATACTGAATGTTTTAAAAATTAAATCAACTATTGGTACTTTTTAATTTATTTCATAGATAATTTTTTAAACCGTCCCAAAATTTGATGGTTTTTGAGTGAAATTTAACCGAAAATAAAATAAAAATAATATTAATTTCTTTCTTTTATTATTAAGTTTTATTAGTGCTAAATGGAAAGGATGTAGAAGTCTTCAATTATACCCGTATCCCGCGTGACTAAATTGGTTTCATCGGTTTGCTAAAAGTAACCTTAAAACAGTATCACCTACTTTACAGAAATGATACTTAAATTATCATAAATGTCACTAAAAACGGAAATTTTCATTGAATTTCTTTGATCGTCAATTATGTGGGATTGGGCATTGTTGAAGACTCGTTAAGTACTATTTATCAATGCTGCAATGAATATTTTAATCAAAAATTTTTCATGCAAAGAAATGTCATTTTATATTCCAAAAACATTCAAATTAGATGTCCATTTAATTTTTTTTCTCAATAACTCGTTTATTATTGCTCTTTCGATAAAGATGGTGCTATACAAAATTGACTGTAATAATTAAATTATACATAAAAAATTGTACATGCATATGTCCTCAAACCAACAGTTTCCGAGCAACAGCTTCGTAAAGTGAAATTATTGTTTCCGTCAAATGCTGTATTCTGTCAATTTTGTATTCTCCTATTTTTACTGTAATATCAAAAGAAAATGAGTTATTTCAATAAAGCTAAAGTGCACCTAAGAATAAATAGCAATTCATTTGAATCAAATGGAATAGTAAATGTTATTAAAAAATTATTTTCGGATTAAACCAACAAATCGAACCTATTGAACGTTGAAAGTAACGGGACTAACATTTTAGGAGAATGCATAGGTGTTAGTATTTTTCTAAAGTAGAGTATTGGGTTCAAATTTCTCTCGTTAATTTTTAAACTAATCAGATCAGACTCTGTAGCGTGTTCTAGTTAATTCTATAGAATCGACATTATATTTGGAAGTTAGTTTAAATTTAGGTAAATAAATGTTTGGATGTTATCAACAACGGAAATGTGGTTTGTTCCGATTTTTGTCATAGCTGTATTTTTCTGCAGGAACAAGAGACGTTTTCGTATAGATAGTATTTACATTAAAAATGTGTGATTTAATGAGTGCTGAGTATTTACAACTATATTAGCTATATGAATTTTGTTATATATTAAATAAAAAATTAAAAATACAAATGTATTTCATTTAACACCTCCATCATTTTAGCTTATAACTCGGAAAGAATGCTTATTCAACAGAAAGTACCTAACACAAGAACCAATATTTGGTCCACTATATTATTTCTTTTGGGTATACGTTTTCTGTCTGCATTATCTACGAGATATTTTCAAAAAATTCCAAGGTTTCTTCACCCTAAGTTTTGTTAATATTGGTATTTTCTGAAATTTTCGCAAAAATCTAACGAAAAATAAAGGCTCAGAAGGAATTACAAATTTTCAAGGTGCTCGGTTTGCTCTTAAATGAAATATTTATAGATTATTTTTATAAATGGGACAAAATCGGGACACATGTTACATCGGGACTAGTGGTTTAAAATCGTGACGGATTCTCACTTTATAAGTAAGAGCCCCTTCCCATTTCAGTTGGGCCACCTATTCATATTTAGGAAAATCGCATTTAAAGTTAAAAATATAAATACTGCATGAACTTTCCAATTTTTATTCGTTGAACAATATGTTTAATATCGTTTAATCACAAAAATACGTAGAAAACATTTATTTAACATAAAATTAAAAAAAATAAATAGTTGGAATTAAACAATAATCAGTTTTAAAGTTTACCATTGAGTAACGTCACCTTTATTTTTTATTACAGCTGAAATTCTTTGCGGCATGGTATTAACTAAGCCTTGGCAAAATTCCGTTGTAAACGAATCCCATAAATCTTGAAGTTTTTGTTTAAGTTCAGATATTGTTCTTGCAGGATGTTTTCGAAGTACCTTTTTTATCTCATGCACCGTTTCTATTGGTGATAAATCAGGACTACTAGAAACCCATTCCAAAAGTGGGATACCGAAGTCTTCCATATACAAAATATCTTCCTGATGTCAAATATAATTCCATAGTCGGTAAAAGTGATTCCTCCAAAATGTCCAAATATTTATTTTTATTTACAATTCCTTCAATAAAATGCAGTTTCCCTATTCCTTTCGATGACATGCTGCCCCAGAACATGACCGATGCGGGAAATTTTACTTTTAAGAGAGTCTGGATGGAACGCCTCATGTTTTTTTGCGAATAACTCGACTTCTGCTATCTCCAACACAAACATCGAATTGGGCCTCGTCACTCCAGTGTATTGCATCCCATTGATAATAGTCAATAACGTAATTATAAAAGTTAAAAAATAATAAATATTGCCTATCTTTAAAACTAGATCTGATAGACGAAATCTGACGGCTATTTTGGATTCTACCCCCAAAAATTACCCAGGAACAGTTAAAAAATCGCAGGCACCAAAATGTCTGTTGGCTTGTGTAATCGAATATTTGCGATTAATCGATTATTTTCGATTAATCGGGTAATAGAAATTTGAATTTTATCATTCGAATAATCGACAGAAAAAAACGATTATTCAAAAGTTTGATTTTTAAAATTATTACCTAATTGATTATGAATATAAATAATATTTGTTTATTACCACTCTTTAAATCTGATATTGATATTTCAAATTAATATGAGAATTAAATTGCATACCCATTTTCTTTTTAAAGAGCGTTCGAATGTGCCACAAGTAGTATCATCTCATTTTAAAAAATTAAGTGGGGTTAGGTTTCACTCCTTGAAAGGAGTGCAATTTTTTTTAATGACTGGAAAGACCACAAAAAACTCAATCGACCTGTTTTGCGTTTTATCCTAATATTTTATCCTGCGGCTCTAGCGAATTAGTTAAAGTCCCCATCCCGTATATAAAAATAAGAATTCTAGTCAAAAAATAAAGAAAACAGTAGCTTTTATATTTTTTTCATAGAATTGAATGGTGCAATCAGTTTTTTAAATTGAAAAAAATTATATCACTTATAAAGGAATAATTCATTTTTTGCGTTTAACCATTTGCATGTTTTTTAAATGTGACTATATTTTTTATATTTCATCAAAAACTACGAAAAAAATTAGTACCTGAAGAACTTTGTACGATAATTTTTCATCGTAGAATTTCTTAAAAAAAATCAGTTAAAATTTCGATTTTTCCTCACAAGATTACGCTCTTATTTCATCCCTTTAGCCACACGTGCAACATTTAAGCCTTTGGTTTTCCGAAGCCTAGATTTCTATTAGTTAATCATTTTGTGAACACGGCTTGCGTGAAAATATGTGCAACAAATAACCTTTAATTTTTGTTAAGGAAAATCTAATTTTCCATATGTCATCCCCAGGAGACACTTGTAAATTTACTTTCATTCTAATCAAAATCGATGTATTTTTCAACTCTCTTTTTTGCTGGCACGTACAATAATTATAAGTGTGACTTCACAAAGTTTAAAGACCTACAAATAAAAGTGAAAAACTTTTCTGCAAATTACATAATTTTTATTTCATAAGTGATTTACAATATTAAAGTTGAACAATACATCACCAGACTTGGAAAATATTGTGCTGAACATCATTTACTGAAAATGTGACTAGAACTGAAGTTATATACTTTGGTCTTAAAAATAATGTTAAAAAATCTGAGTTAGTTTAACATAAAATAAAAACCTTAAAAATAAATTTAGTTCGAAAAAAATGAGTTCAATGTACGCATTGAATATAAAGTTATCATTTTATCTTAATATTGAGAGTAAAACGGAGCAGGAGTTATATAATCTGCAACTTCATTAAAAAGGTAATAAATTCGTTTTGTAATAAGTATCATAATTTATTAAAAAATCGAAGTTATTTGGCAGTATTTTTCATGAAATAGAAATATAAGTACATCCTAATTTAGATATTAAATGTTATAGCTGATAGATTTTGTGGTCCAGCACAAAATTAAGAACTTAGAATACTTATAAATAATATTTTTACTAAGTTGCAGATCAATAACTTCCAGAAACCCATCATATAGGGTGTTTTTATTGTGAATTAACATTGCTATATGTGAAACCGTAAAACTAGACACGTTAATAAATGGTAAAAAAAATTGCGTTAATTCTATACCTTTCGTCTTTTCACATATCCATAAGTCTAGATGAGGGGATTGAGCTGGCCAAGATAATTTCTATTTGATAATTATCTCGATATAAACAAATTATGAGGAAATCAATCTTGTGCATAAAATAATTCTTATTAAGTTGATGTTGATCCCGACTAAAAATTTTAGTTAGTTGAAAAGTTATAATAACATTTTGAAGTATTTTTAAAAATAGAAGAATTTATAAGATTTATTTTTCCATTTATTCCCCCCTTCAATTTTTTCTGCTTTCCAGTACAGCAACGTTAAATAACGATAAAAACAATTTTTAAACAAAAATATTTTTTTAAGGTGTACATTTTAAAAATTCGATTTGCTAGTTCCTAACAAATATGTAAGTATCAAAAAGCAAACTATAAGATACATACTCTAACAATATTTCTACTAGATATATTTTTCAAAATAAAAAATGGCACAAAAAGAGTCTTTTAAAAAAATTAAAGGTTTCGGACACAAGAATTCTTGAGTTTTTTCGTTTTTTTTTTTTTGTTAATTGACGTTAAAAGAGCATATTTATGACAGGAGTGTGAGTTAATAAAACAAAAATGCTTAAAATCACATATAAAAGTAGATAAATATACTTATGACTAGTTGCAAAAATACTATTTAGCAAATTGTAAAAAATGTGATGTCCATTTAAAAAGAAGCATTTATGCAACGAGTTAATATTCAAACTACTATACATATTTTTTGCCATACAGAGTGTTTCGTTGTGAAATGCACACCTTGGTGTCATATATCTTAACATATGCCCATTTCCCAATAAAACACCCTATATAAGTATGTTTCCTTAAATATATATAATGCAAAATAAAATAATTTAGATAAAAACGAATAACTATTCAGAATAGGAGCCCATTTCGTATTAACCCTGTTATAACTCATTTATGTATAGTAGTTCAAATAAACATTAAAATAAAATATATTAAAAATTCTTTAAACAATAAATAAAATCATATAATTAACATTACAATCCATTGGTTTAAAATCAGTACTGCTTTAAATCTATATACTAAAAAACTTCACCAATAATAGCTACCGAAGTCACAAATACTGAGTAGAATAAAGAGATAAACAAATTACATTCTTAGTATCACTCGGGAAGTCATTTTTTTTGAGTATTTTAGAAAAAATAAACGAGATTTAGAGCAAAGCAATTTTTCGTTGTAGAAGATTTATTAATCATTACGAAAAAAAGCAGAGATAAGTTTTACACTTAATAATTCGATTGTTTTATCATTGTGTAAAAATTCTTTAAAAAAATATTTGTAAAATTGTAAAAATTGTCATAAGTCAAGTAGAGAGTTTATTTTTTGTTTTGTTTTGAAAGCTACTGATAAAAAATACACTTACAACAAAGTGTTAAAACATAATTATATATAGAAATAAAAAAAAATCAATTGGTGTTTTGGACACAAATGTAATCACAAAAGAGAACTAACAATGCAATAACCTAAAGCCAAAATAAATCAGTTGAGTGTCTCTTAATAATGGCATTGACACTTTGCTTTGAATTACAAATATAACTCTTGTCTGTCTGTCATTAGGAAATGTCAACTATTAATCTCCAAAAGACAGCTCAGAAAATGAACTTTTTTAAAGATGCACTAGACTTTTTACTAGGGGTAGAAGCCACTGATCTGTATTATTTTACTGGATAGGATATAGGCTATATTTAACATACTAAAAAATCGTTCCACCAAGGAGACCGGAAGTGTAACAATGCTGGCCGATTTGGGCAAATTATGGTGGGTTCACAGAACTAAAATTTGGGATAATTTGACATACCTAACCTATAATTTGATTAGTTTTTCTTCTTATTCTTCTTCTATTCCTTTTGCGGGCGATGTCCTTCGGGAAATTTCACCCATGATTTGATTTTTTATGAAAGAAAATATAAAAATGGAAACGTGAAGCATATTGTGTCTTCAGGAATGAACGTTTATTGTTTATTTCATACTCTTTTTACTTTGTTTTCCACAATAAAAACATCTCATCGTAGCTTGTTGACACAATTAAATGACAAATGTGATGACAAATGGAAATAGAGGTTACGTTAAATAACATCCGGTCCGCCATATTATTTGCCCAAATCGGCCAATTTTTCGGAACGTTTTTTAGGGGGCTATATCCTATCCAGTAAAATAATACAGATCAGTGATAGAAGCCTTTTAAAAAAGCTGTGTTTCTGACTCATGTCTCTTTTGTAAAAACATTGAACCCTACCCTTTTCAAAAGTGTAATTTCAAATAACTTCTATAAAATTTTTTCATAATTTCATAAAAAATAATATATTATTTAGAAGTTAATCATAATAATCTTCTAACTTTTAATTTTATGATTTTTATAAATAAATATTTTATTCCTTATGTTATTCTTTAAAATACTAATATTAGAAGTTTTTTGAAATCACTTAATCTAAAACAGATCTACCGCAACATCAATAAAAAAAAATGTTTCAAAACTTATACATTTCGTCAAAAAAGTTTGGTGATGTAATTCCAAGGTTACATAACCAAACATTTGCGTTGGCGTCTTTTTTGAGGCTCGGGCCGCAGAACAGCCCTAACTGCCTCGTCGAACACCTGTTTCAGTCCTCTTTGGGTTAAAGCTGAGCATTCCATGTATTTGACAGCTCGAATTTTATTGGAGAGTTTTTGTCCTTGTTCCCTTTTTATGGGACTCAGGCCTTGGTCTGCTAAAGCATTAAGGGTTTCCCTGTCGTCTCTTAAGTCTATTTTCGTACCTTTAAAGAAGAATATTGATAGAAAAATGATAAAGAAAATCGGTTATCAATCCCAAGTCAAAAATAGACGGTGCCGGTTTTAGGAAGGAGGCGCCCCAAAATTAATTATGTATTATGGTAAGGTTATATAATTAATATATACCCAACTAAAAATAATAAATATTGCTAGATATTTCTCTATACTCTTGCCACTCTTTGCAACAACTAGTTCTACTGTTTTAACAGTATCTAGATCAGAGGTTCCCAAACTCTTTTGTTTCATAGACCACTTTCAAAATTTTGCTGGATCCGGTGGACATCACTACCAATTCCTAAATCTCGAAAAAAAAAAATGAAGATTAGATCTATCTATGGAAACTTGACAGTGACTCACAGCACAAGAACCAATCAATTCTCGCAAATTTTATTTAGAAAACGTCCCATTCGGAGTGGTAAAAAGAAATATAGTATATTTCCTTGTGTTGTAGATATTTATTTAAATTTAAATATATAAATTATTACACTATTAATTATTATTATTGTTATAACCGTTGTAATATAATTAAAATTAAACACTTATAATGTAATTTCTACAATGATAATTACAAAAAATATATAATTTTAATGAGAGGGATGTACTTGATGGATTGACAGCCAATTATCTGTGATATTCAATCTGCTCCGTTTTTTTTTTTGTTAATAAGTTTATAACGACACTAAACTTTTTTCGACGAGATATGACGAGGAAAACGCTATTAGAAGCTTTTGCACAATTCCCCACAGCCCAGGATATTTTTCGGATATTTCTGCCTGCAGCCAAAATTTTTGATACCCTCTTTTAAATGTCACTTTCAGCTCCTCATTAGTGCTAAGCTCCTCTTGTAATATCACATTCTCCACTTCCGTTTCATCAAATTGATTTATGATCCATGGTGGTATTTCCATCGACAGAATATCTTCAAATCTGAATTTAAAATCATCATGAAGGGCAATCAAATGTTGAACGTATGTCTGAATATCTTCATCAAGGCATTCTACCTGCGACAAGTTTGAAAACTGTAAAAATTCGCGCCGACCAATGTTTTCCTTCATAAATTTCAATTTCCAAGAAAAGCTGAAATTACACTCTTTGTTTTTATTAAATTGAGGCTGTCCCCTTGTAATTGTAAGTTGGGGTCATTAAATTTTTTGAACAAATCTGTCTGCTTTAAAATTGATCAAGTTTTTTTTTAATCAGGATCTTTACTTTCCAAGAACTGTAAAACTGAGTCAAAAAGTAAATAAAATCTTGATAAACATGCACCTTTTGACAACCAGCGTACTTCAGTATGTAACAGCAATCATTGGAAGTCTTCATCATTTTCATCGCACAATTGTGCAAATAAACGCGTATTCAATGCATTGCTTCTTTTTTAACTGCATTAATCACAAATTGAAGCGATTGGTGCAATCTATCACTCAAATTTTTCGCTACTAGATGTTGTCGGTAGATAACACAGTGAATCGCAATTACCTCTGGTATAATTCTTTTAGGATGGCTTATGAACCCACAATATCGCCCGACCATGGCAGGAGCTCTATCTGTTGCCACCGAAATAACGTTTGTGAATGGAATCGATTTTTCTTTAAAAAAATCACTCAAAACAATAAATATTGATTCACCTTTAGTGTCTTCAAAGTTTTCGCGAATAGTAGCTCTTCATGATTTTCTTCGCCCATGACAAATCGAACATATGCCAATAATAATGCTTCATTGCCAGGTAAAGTTGACTCGTCCAATTGAATAGAAAAATGAGTTGTTCGTAGATAATCACACAAGAAACTTTCAACATCAGATGCCCGCAAGCCATCATCGTTGCTTTCAGACGTTGAAGAGAACATACTGTGCACGGTGGGTCTCTTTTCATATTTTTCCTTTAATGTTTGGAAATATTTCAAATCTTTACCTATTTTATAACCTTCTTATATGATCTTCCAGCTTTGATGGTTTCATAGAGACATTGCTCAAAACTTTGTTGCATAAAAGGCCTGTGGGCAATTTTTGATGGAAGAAAACCAAATTTTAAATATTCAACACTGTACTGACGACACTTCTTAGATTCGGCCATGTTTTGTATCAATTACCTACCTGTAAATGTGTAAGTAAATAAATAAAAAAAAACTTTGTTTTAGTAATCTTAAGGCCATTCGAACTTAACAGGATATGGCTATTTTAACATAATATGATTAATCAATTATTATAAATATTATGAAATAAACAAAGCTCCAGCTGCAAACTGTTTCTAATTATTAAAAGCAATAAATCGCTAAGATCCATAATAGAGTTTTATGAAAACGGCTGAACTTATTTTAATGTGATATAAAATTATTATTTCATTTATTATATTTTAATATATTTTTGTAAATTCTATAGAAACGTTTAAACAATATTTTGATATCAAAACTCCGCAATAATTAAATGAATTAGATAGGTAATAAAAATAAAGTAGGGACGATAAGTTCAATCTTTCTCGGCTTAAAACTATATGCATATAACAAATAGGCAGGTAGGTACTTATTTTTCCGACACTGGCAATCATTAATATCGATTTACTTTATTTTTCTTTTCAAAAGTCTGGAAACAAATTTAGTCACTGGCCAACACTAATATCGATTCACTTTTCTTTATGAAATTCCAGAAACAAATGAGTAACGATTATCCTTGACATTCGTATTTATATTGGTGAAGAATCAAACACGTTCATGCAAGATTGCAAGCACATACACTACAAGTCATATTAATTTGCACGTCTGAACAAGCGTTGCGGACGGGACGGCGGCCGGCGCGGCAACGACAAGTCTCGACGCGTTGTAATGAATATGGAATATGCAAGTTTTTACAAGTAACAGTCGCTGAGCTTCAAGTATTATCTGCCTATATTGATAAGGGAAGTCAAGTCAACATTTTAGTAACTAAAATGTTGACTGTTTATATTATAAACAGTTGAAGTTTTTTACAAGAATTTCATCACATGGAAAAATGAGTAATCAATTGTTTAATAGTATATTGCTTCACTATCAAAACCAAATTAATTTTCATACACCCTGCTTACGATTGTGGATCCCCATTTTTTATTAGGCCCAACGTAGACCCCCGTCGAGTCTCCCGTGGACCCCTGTGGGTCCACCTGGACCACTTTGGGAAATACTGATCTAGATCGATCTAATGTTTTCGTAACTTTTCTCCTGTTCCATTGTTTTTCGTTTAAATTCGTTATTTAGTAAATAAAAATACCACATAGGGGAGTGTTGTACCTTGGCACATATTTATATTTTTGACGTTTTTTAAATTGAATTAATCATGACCATCCCTCAGTGTTATTTCGACTATACAGAGCAAAATTTTCAAAACATTAATGTTATATTGAAAACTGAAAGAAAATGCTTACTTTAAAATTTTCCCAAGGTAAAACCTAGTCTTGTACCTAGGGCCAGCTCCAATTGTGTCAACCTTTTGATAAAACCCAACATTTTCATTGATTTGTGGACAACAGCAGATATTTGTTGATTAAAGCTTAAAGTGGGAACAAGAATAATTCTAAGGTCTGTAATTTGATAAACAGAGTCTAAGTTATGTCCATTTAAGTTATAATCAAATGTAGTTGGATAGGGACAGGTTTAGGTGCCCCATTTTCGCATTCAAGCCTCGAAGAGGGTTAAAAATTACATCGATTTTAAGTAGAATAAAAGGAAATTTACAAGTGGCTGCTGGGGATAACACATGGAAAATTCGAAAGGGTATTTGTTGCCAATTTTTCCATGCAAGCCGTTTTCACTATATGATTAATTAATAGAACTAGGCTTCGGAAACACAAAGGCTTTAATGTTGCAAGTGGCTAAAGGGTTGAAATAAGGGCATAATCTTCTAAGGAAAAATCGAAATTTTGCCCGATTTTTCCACACAAGCCCATCGAATGTATGAAAACGTACGTCGTCACTAGTCCGAAAAACATATTTTCTTGAATGAACTGAATTGTCTAAGTGCATTTTGGGGTTGAAAAATTTTTCTGATAAGGAAAATCGAATTTTCCATGTGTTATCCCCAAGAGCCACTCGTAATTTTTTTTGTTCTACTCAACAACGATGTACTTTTCAACCCTCTTCGAGGCTTGTATGCGAAAATGGGGCACCAAAATCGGTCACTATCTGACAGTTTATAGGTGGGAAAGATAAAAACACATAATATGGAATTTATTGGTATTTAAGTCCATGCCATTTAAAGAACATCATTCTGATAAATGATCAATGTCAGACTGAAGTCTACTGGGGTATTATCATGGGTTTTTAACAATTTGGAAAAATTTTAAGTTACCTCAAATAATTAAAGCTTTGCTGTTACGGAAACAATGAATTATATCATTAATAAATAAGTTAAATAGTAAGGGCCCTAGATGTGACCCCTGATGAATATCTGAGGTTACTTGAAATAAGTTGAGTTCTATTAGTAAGATAGCTACCAATCTATTGTAGTAATATCCCACCCAGACCATATTTGTTGAGCTTTTGAAGTAAGAGAGTATGGTTAACCTTGTTAAAAGCTTTGGAAAATTTAGTATAGTCAGAATCGATTTGTAAACCTTTTGACAAGAAGTCGATATAAGTGACTAAATTTAACTCTGTTGATTTTCCAGCACAAAAACCATATTGTTTTTCAGTTATGATGCCGGAGCAGTCATAAGTAAGGTAATTGGTTATAATGTTTTCAAACAATTTTGGTATTGTGCTGAGAATTAAGATGGGTTGATAATTTATCAGATTTGCTACCTGATTTGTATATTGGAATGACATAAGTCTCCAATAATCTGGAAACTCTCCTGTGTCGATTGATTTATTGAAAATATGAAAAAGAGAGTGAGACAGTATGAAGCTGCAATTCCTTAGTAAGATGGGAGGAATACTGTCAGGACGCATAAACTTTTTGCCTTTCAATTCTACTAATCATCATTGATACTGCAAAATGTTGTATGTCAAAATGGCTACTTTTTAGGATGCAATATTTTTTTCACATACGACCTCATAAATAAATCACGTTGAACGCTTGCTATTGTTTTTTTCACATACGACTAATTGAAGTATCAATGACATAATATAAAATCTTCTTTCAATATCGTGGATATTTCTGTCCCTTTCCTGTTCTATTTCTATACTTAATTCACTCGTAAGGGGGTGAATTAGGGAGAGTATTATTATTATTATTATTATTATTATTATTATTATTATTATTATTATTATTATTATTATTATATTATTATTACTTTCTTCTTCAAATAGTTTTTCTAAATAGTCATCTACAACACTAGTAGGCACGCTCAGGTATTTCAGTATTTTCATCATCAGAACTTTGTTCAAAAACTTTTTGGCCTGTCTTTTGAAATGTTCCATTTATTTCTCATTTTTTAGGGCCTTTCGCAAATATTCTGGATTTTCCTTCTTCCTTTGGTATTTCTGGATACAATCTTAAAATACAGCCTTATCATTTCAGGACTCACAAAACTTACCTGTCTTGGAGATATAGGTATTTTGAGGTTGATGTAATGATCCAGATTCGTCAAAAATTTCAAGATAAAAATCATGTTTTTAATCAAACTAGTGTTTAAACAGTAGATCTGGCAGCTATGACTGCATCAAAAATTAATAGGTGGGTAGTAAAACACAGGATCTCACTGAAAGACCATAGAACCATAGAAATATTTGATACAGAAATTTTCTGCACATTGTTATAATCTGGTAAATATGTATTTATGTGGTACATTCAAATACTATATTTTAATAGTTAGCTTGTGAGTAAAAGAAATTTGTCGAGAAGGTAAAGTTGCAATTGCTGTAGTGTAATTATTTAATTAAGTAGTATCTTTTAGAGAAAATCCAATCTGCAAAGTGTTTGGCGGTTTGGTTTGTAAATGATATATTTATCTCAACAAATTGTTGCAGCAGTAAAAAAAAATAAAAACAATGGGAACCTTTTCTGAATGGATACTCACCAACTAATATCATAGGTGCATCTGGACAATGATGTTTTATTTCTGGATACCATTTGGAAGTTACATTTTCAAAAGAGGATGGTGATGCTACACTAAAACAAATGAGAAAAACATCTGTCTGGGGATACGATAAAGGCCTAAGTCGATCATAATCCTCTTGTCCAGCTGTATCCCAGAGTCCCAAGCTCACCGAAATTCCATCTACTACCATTGGGGCGGAATAATTATCAAATCTACAAAATAAAATTTTGTTTTAAAAAATCTCAATCTGTTTCAATAATTAATATTTAATAACCATATTTATTAGATAGATATTGTCCCTGGTGAGTATATTAAAAAAAAAAAACTACATTTATTTCTGTAGCCATACCGAGTATAAAAGTAGGATTTGTTATTGCTTTTTTAATTTTTAGAACAAATTTTTTCGCCTCATTGTGTGGTACTTACACAGTTGGTACATATTCACCAGGAAAACTGTCTGTAGTGTAAGAAATGAGCATACAGGTTTTTCCAACAGTTCCATCTCCGACGACAACACATTTTATTGGCCGGCCAGATGACATATTTATTGTACTTTTCTAAAATGACAATGATTTCTTTACCTAACCTAAAACTTATTAATTCCACTAATAACTTACCTATTAAACGTTTTATGAGTGAAAAAATACAACTGTACTTTATATTAAAATATAAGTTGAGGGATTATTAAATAAATGTTTTTCACATACAGTTATTTTTCTTTTCACAAGAAAATACACTGTCACTTAGCTGCCATTGCAATTGGCAGTTGGCACTTGACAGTGTTGGCGCTGGCACTCATCCATTGCCAAGTTCGCCAACCTAAGTTTCTCAAATGATTTGTGACGTCACCACAAAACCTCTAGGTTGCCTAAAAATTATCTCTGGCATTTAAAGAGTACGATAAATATATTTAAAATAAAAGAATAAGCACAATCTAGCAGAGTTTTAATTTTATTTTAATTTAAATAGTAGGAACATCGTTAAAGCAGTTGATCGCAAAAAGTAATATAAGTAATATTTATTTATTTATTTTATTTATCATTATAAAATTCACAGTTATTTACATGTTCAATTAAAATATAAGTCAACTTAAATTTAGATGAAACACTTAGGTGCAAGCACCTGTATGTGCTTAAGACATAAAGTAATATTAGCATATACATATTTATACAATATACATATATTTATACATTAATTTGAATATCAGTAACAAATAAAGCTGTAATAATATCCTATAGTCACATTCAAAAACACATTAAAAACTGCAAAATATAACAACATATTTTGAGCTGGAAGACGAAGGTCCAATTATTTTATAGATATTTAAAATTATGCAACACACATAATTATATTAAGGTACCGAAAGCGACGGAGATGATTTTGACACACGGCAGAAGACAACAGTTATAAAATAACTTTCAAGAAACTTTTTACATTCTCTTGAAAAATTTTTGATGGTTTTCATACTTTTGACTTGTAAGGGATCGAAGAGAGTTGTAAATTTTGGTGTCACGCTTGTTACAAATCTTTGGCTAGTATCCCTATAATAATTGTCCACTGGTGGATATTTTCTCCACCAGTTATTTAGCAGGAGTGAATTATACTATCGTTATGTGTATAAGGACCGATTCCACCGTTGTGTTAAACGAAGTTTAAAATGACATTTTTACACTAACAATGTCGTTTTAATCTCTGTTTAACACAGCGGTGGAATCGGCCCTAAGGAATAAAGAGGAAGTAAATTAGGGGTAAATAAGGTGGTGTAACTGGTGTAAATTACACCAGTTACACCACCTTTATTTACCTAGTTTAACTTCCGCCTTCTGATACACATGTCGAGTGTAATTCACTCCTGCTAAATATCCACCAGGGACTCGATTCTCGACTTGTAGGAACCTTTTCCTATAGGAATTTGTGGCACTTTCCTATATGTAGGAAAATGTCATAAATTTTCGATGTATATAAAAATGTCAAAAATTCCTATAGGAAAATATTCCTACAAGTCGAGAATCGACCCCCAGTGGACACCACATCACCGACAGCAGAGACAACAGAGACGTGTAACTTAATAGGAAAATATGTTCGGTGGTCCATTTAAATTACATATATGACCCTCTTTTTCTTTTACATTGATCTTTACATATGTCTATCTCTCTCCAATAAAACTAACACCATTTTCAGAGGGCGCTGGTGTTGCTGGTTTTTTGACGTAGAAATATCGATTAAAAGTATTAAAACTGACAACTGACAATGTTATGAATATGAATGTTGTTATGAACATGTGCATTTTATTAAAATTAATTTAATTTGGGCCCCGTATATTTCTTTTAGTCTGATTTTGTTGTTTAATTAATTTTCTTTGGGGGGGAATGTTTATTTTTGCATATTATTTTTTGCATGAAGCAATTTCTGGAACCAAACTCGCGTTTTTGTACACATTTCTTTCTAGAGGTAAGTAATTTCCAATTTATTAAGAAAACCACTGTATAATGTGTGTGTTTAATAATATATTACACAATGACTATAATTATTTTAGGTGAATTGGAACAGAAATCCATTGTTACAACTACTTGTGTTCATTAAGTAGGTAGATGAATGTCTGGACAGCTTTAATGGCAGCACAAAGTTCCTATCTACTAGAAAAGTAAAATGTATGCTGAGTAAAAAATCTGCACATGTAGTATTGGCAAAGGACTTTTGAAATGATTAGAGATTAGCTATTTCTTACATACACCTACCTCTAACAGCCACTCTAAAGGAAGAAAACAAAAATTGAATCACAAAAGGGCAGAATTTTAAATCAGGATGCATTGGAAAATAAATTTGGGGACATCAGGTCGGTTTTGGATTTTATAGAGAGATCAATCTCAAGAAAAGTTAATTTATCCTGCAGAACAACCAGTAGTTTAAGTAGGATTTGCTATAACTTTATTAGAAATTTTCTTTGATAATAAATTGTAATATAGGTACCAATTATTGTTTCAAATGAAATTGAAAAAGAGTTAAATATGAAATTAGATTTTTCATGAGTAAAATGTTATATTCATTCGAACATTGTAAGGTAATCTATAATTAAGGGAATATGGAAAATAGGTATACCCTGGTGGTGTAAGAGAAAGGTAAGGGGCAATGACAAAAAAATTACAAAAATGTATTTATCTTTAAATAGTGTTTATTATTAATAATATTATTTGCTATGTTTGAAAAGTACCTTCTGCTTCTGAACAGATAGAATAGATTAGACTACTAGTTGGAGAAGGTCCACCTAGTAACCAAATTAGGAGACTAGGAAAACTTTTACATGACTGGGGACACAACAGGAATGCACACACACAAGATACACAAACAAACGAAATAACAGGGGTAAGCCTTCAGCAACGTCCTGTTTAAATGATGATAGTATGTCATCCTTCATTCCCTTTTAGAAGGCATGGCATATAAATATATTGATCTTGATTACTATAAGAGGAGTTAGCAGGTTTCGATACAGTTTACAGGATGGGAACTTGACTCGGGCCTTATACATTTGTGTTGAGTGTATGTGTGTTTCGTTTCCATGGTTTCTATTAAAATAAACAGTCATAACATATCCATTCCTTTTTTGCCAGACTAACATAAGTGACATTTGTTCAAATGGCACTTATGATAGTCTGGCAAAAAGGTATCGATACTATACTTTATAAAATATTTGTTACATTAGTTTTTAAATATATTATGAATATATAACAACTGTTACTTTCTTTGTAATTTGTCACAAAATGATAGGAGGTACTTTCTAAACGAAGCAATTGTAGTTTGTTTTTATGTACCTTACAAAAATATAATTTATAGAAAAAGAGTTTGGTGTATTATTTTTCCAAGTTTAAATATTTACTAATCAATAGAATTTTCAATTTTTTTTTTTTAGCGAAATTTACAAGAGTAATAAAAACTATGTTCACTGTTTATATTAAACTGATTAAAACTTCCTTTATTAAAATGATTATTTATGTGATAAAAAATTTGATGTTATTGGAAGCTTTTATATTTTTTTAATATACAGTGAAACAATAGTTTTTGTTTCTCCTGTAAATTTGTATAGAAAAACTTTATTTCTGAATCCATGTTTGAATTTCCCGCCCTAAAGCATTTTTAATTTTCCCGCTATTTACTAGTGGCGCCATCATAGACTGGTTGTGGTTACAATCGCCCAAATAACTTTTACCGAACAAAAAAAATACATTGAGTTACACGTCTCGCTGGATTGTCTCTGCCGACAGGAAGGTGTAGTGGATTTTACACCGGGCCAAACGAAAGATATGGCGTGCGTTGGTGTAGTTCATTCCTACTCTAATGGAACGAACGAAAGAACCTAAATGTATGCGTTGGTGTAGTTCATTCCTACACCAGTGGGTCGAACGAAAGAACCTATATGTATAATACTCGAACAGTTTTCAACATATTTCTGAAGAACCAGAACAGACCTTTTATCTCAGAAAACTCGATTTGTTTTTGCTGGAACAGGTATTTCTGTTCCTCCTTGGCACATCTCTATTAACTTTAAGTTGGCAGCCAACTGTTGGCTGCACTGACATGCAAGCGTCTCTTCTCGCCGCGCCGCAAAAAAGACTGCCATTTTGTTTAAGGATCGTGAGGCGTTAGCGTGGTGCTGTGGTTGATCGTTTATTTTTCCCATCAATCCTCAATTGAAGAAGTGTTTCATCGTTATAATCTTTTAGTAAGTAATTTTGTTATTTAATTAATAGGTTACCGATAGAAAATAATTTCACATGAACTTTTGATATATCTTGGTGCTGGAATGACCCATTAAAATGGTGTCGCAGCTAAACAAAAATGGGATATACCTAGTCGGCTTCGGCAGTTGCATATTTCTCTTTGCCTATTACAATAATGACAATCCTAAAACATAAATAATATGTAATTTCTTTTGAAAATCTTGTAGTTTAAGGCAGTGATGCTTTCTCGGCTTTCTCTACCCCACTGTGACCCCACGCCCCATGAAAGGGCAAGGTAGGTGGCGCTGTACATTATTTAATGAGTACCGCGGGAATTTTAAAATTATCTACATTAGACGGTGGGATATTATACCACTTATAAAACGAAATAATGTTAATGCGTTATTTTAGAAAATTGTAAAAAATGCTCGGATATAAAAATGTCATCCCCAATTTTAACCTCTGTGGTAGCTACCTCCTTGAATATTTTAAATAGCTCATTTGAAAGGGGTTTTAATTCTCTTCTTGATAGCAAAATAATTTTCTAAGGGTATATAGACATTTAAATATTAGAAATATTCGCCCTTTTGGGCTTAATAAATTTCAATAAAAGGTACAGTTACAGGAAAGGTATGTACTTAACGCGCATCCTGGCCGCGCATATGTAAACATCGTTATATTTATCGCGTTGTTGTCACGTTGTAATTTTCTTTTTACTAGGTATGTAATATAATTTTTGTAGTTTTTATTAATTTTAATCTTTTTTACATAACTTTTTTTTATAATAAAGCAAGTCCTCCAATCTACTCTACCTAAGGTAGAAAACTTTCAGCCAAATGTATTTTTGTTGCTGTGACTGTACATTGGATGTACATGAAATATTTGTACATCAGATGTATCCCCGATTATTTGTACGTCATAATTCTATCCTAACTTTATTTCTGATGGAGTAGAAGACTTTAAGTATTTTTCTGTAGTATTTTATAAACCTTAGAAACAAATTTCACGTGCATGAACAAATAATAATAATGCCGAAACAACAAGAAGAGGAAGCAACGACTTCTCGTAGGATGGCGGCTTCGCCGCCACCAGAAAATTTCAATCCATACCTGGCTACGCTGGCCGGCATAAACACCAACGGCCTGGACATAGCTCACCTACTCTGTCAAAAGGAGATCGATGTACAAATAAAACGCGTACTGCTAGTCACTGTCTATTTTTGTTTATATTTATTTGTTATTTTACTTAAATATTTATTAATATAAAAGTAGCAATCTGGCAACGTTGTACAATTATACTGTCATAAAACCAGATTATTTATATGCGCGCCAGTACATACCTTTCCTGCAACTTTACCCAATAAAATTTGCAGGATATTAATTAATTCAAAATAGCTAATATAATACAGTACTTATTATTTTGTATTGGGCATAGCTGTGCTTTTACAGTGAACATGTGGCAACTACGATATCCCTGCTATCACTATGATTCAGTTTGGCTCATATCCCACCACCATATCTTCTAATTCTGGTCAACGTGGGATGACTGGCTGTTACCCCTTGCCCCGTTGCCATTTTATTTATTAACTTATATACTAGTCGTTTGCCTACATGAAAAAAAAAGCACTGCATTTAAAGCCCTTTCAAAACATTTATAAGTTAAAAGTAAATACACAGAGACAACACCCCGAAAAAAAAAACCACTTTGGAAAAAAGGCTGTCACTAACAATTATTATAAGCCAAAAATAAACACTGAATAACCTATTTTGTGTGTTATAGAACTTTGGTCCTAGATAATTTACAGTTTTAAAAAACTCACTACATATTTGGTTCTGATACTTTAATGTACATGTTAGATGCGGTTCTAGTATTGTCTATGTTCTAAAGGCTTTTTAACAATTAATTTTTTGTATATAGCAACAAACTGTGTGAATATATAAACATCTAATATTATGAATTTTTACATTATACAGGGTGTCCCGAAATTAGACGGTCATATTTTAAGACCATAATCTACATCCTAAAATAGGAGTAAAAGTTTATATAAACATAGGTCCGAAAACGTTTCTTTTCCGAGATACAGGGTGTTAAAAGTGAAGTCCTAATGACACTCTTTTGTAAATATTTTCTAAACGTTTAAAGATAACTATGTGAAATTTGGTACAAATGCTAACCTTTTTACGCTCTATTTAATGGACTAACCCCCGGTTTTTAATCATCTTCATAGGTGAGTAAATTAGGGGGGCTTAAGGTAAAATTGCCCTAATTTTTTTTGTTGACAGTTTTTAACATTTTTGACTATAAAATTTGGAAAACCAATGTTTTCTTCATAATAAAGCTACTTTTGTTGCATCTCGCTAGGACGCACCATTTTCAAGAAAAAGGCATTTAAAAATTTCATGATAAGTTATTCAAAAGTGTAAACAATAGGTAATTAGTAGGCCTGTGAAATCAGAAATTTTTTTTTTTTTTTTTTACTTTAGAAAACAGGTGACTAAAGAAATTTTAGAAAATATTTACAAAAATGTGCCATCAGGACTTCAACTTGTAACACCCTGTATCTCGAAAACAAAACGTTTTCGGACCTATGTTTATGTGAACTTTTTCGGACCTATGTTTATGTGAACTTTTATTCCTATTTTAAGATGTTAAAATATGACCGTCTAATTTCGGGACACTCTGTATAATAAGGTGGGATACAGTCTATCTCTTTTATATATTCAAGATTTTGTTTCGAATATTTAACTGTCTTAGTGTAGTTCTGTACAGGCCTCCCCATACTAAGATTCCATACTGTAGAATAGATTCTACTAACAATAAACTGTGGTAGGTATAATGTTATTAGTAGATCTAGATTGAGAAATTGTTTCAGAAGATATAACTTGTAAATCAAAAATCTAAAACATAACGTACCTACATTCCTACTTTATTATGATATATTTTGAAAACTAAAATACTGCACTTAGCCATAGGTTGTAATTTATTGCAATAGAGGGCATGATATACCTACTCCCATATTTGATTTTAAATTATTTAAAAAAAAATTGGGAGAGGTAAATGTGGAACTCTGTCAAAGGACTTTGAGAATTTTGCACTGTTTGTTCGCTTGTGTCTTATAATACCAAACATTTTAAATTGTTACTGGTGGAATCGGACAATCACATCTATTTATGGACTAGAAATGATTATTTAAACTACTATTAATATCTCAAATCATAATTCTACACAATTTCAACAGCTATCCACAATTTATTAGACAATTTATGCAAAATTGTAATTATCATCTATAAAATAATTTTCTATGCCAATGTATCACATTCACTTTGGTTAGTGAGAGCCTTTCCAACTTCTATCCGAACTCTAGGTGTATAATTTTAATTTTAAATGTCAGTGCAGAGTAGTACTACTGACATGCATATTACCCACCTAGACTACAAGATTACCTTTATTTTTTAGTTAGGACTGTCATTATTCTCATGTAATTTTTCAGTAAAATGGGTGATTCACCTAAGGATCGCAGACCCCGTGACAAGGACCGCCCCCGCCGCGATAGGGGTGGTCGCATGGATATCAGTCGAGACCGCAGTAATGATAACAGAGGGGGTGGTGGTAGGGAACCCCGCAGCATGAGGTCCTCTCAAAATAGAGTGTAAGTACGAGTAATGAAGTAACCTAAAAAATTATACTGAATCTTATAGCATTGTTGATTCTTTTGCTTATGCCCAGAGTTAGTTTTTTTAAAATAAAGTCACAATTCACTCTCCTCTTTCAATGCACTTATAAATAAAAAACATAAACATTGATTGACTCGAAAATGAGTGTTCAGTGTTTTCTGTGTTGTTGATTTATTTCTTGTTTTGTTAACAATTTTTTTACTTGTAAGTTCTTAAAATGAATAATGCCGATAATAATTTGTGATGTGTGCAGTTTAAATCTTTTCTATTCTATTCAACCTGTGAGTGAATTCCAGCTAGAACCGAAAACAAAATGTGAAGTACGTTGCTCTTTGACCAATAGAATCAAACAAACTTAATTTCGTTTGCACTCTGCAAGCTAAGCAGTGGAATCAAAAACGCTATTATTTCTTAATTTTGAAATATTGTATATTGTACTAAAAGTTTTCTGAAAATTATTAAACTGAGTTGAAATGATAAATTTTAAATAGTTTTGGCAATGTAAAATTTGGAAAATGCTTTGTACTAAAAAAGTTACAGCTTTAATCTTAATGGACCATTAAACCAAGAACATTAAAATAAATAATCTGACCCAGTACTTTCTTTTTCTATTATTATTTACAGGGTATTATCTGGTCGCGAAACACTATTTTTTATAAAATTAGATATTTTTCAAGCAACTTGGTTAAACGCAATTTAAAACATTGTAACTTATATTTAATTTGTATTAAAATAGTAAAAACAATTTTTCTTAGTAAATGTTGATTTCTTTTAATTTTTTCTTAGGTTTGTATCAAATATTCCATATGAGTATCGTTGGCAGGACATCAAGGATTTATTTAGGAGTAAAGTTGGTGATGTTGCTTTTGTTGAACTCTTTGTTGACGATAGTGACAAGCCTAAGGGCAGTGGAATTGTTGAATTTTCTGACTCGGATGCGGTTTCAAAATGTTTGGAGGTTACTGTCTTTTTTTTTATTAAATTGGAAATTCACTAGAAAATTTTGATTATCTTTACTGAAACTTGAGAAGATTAAGCACCTCCCCTTGAAAATCTCGGACTGATTATTTTGTGTCGTATTTTTTTTGTGGTTTTGATGGTATGATCGCTATCCTGGCGAACGCGTGATTAGAAAGACAAAATAAAGTGTGCCTTAACCAAACGATCTTGTCACTTTTTTACAAATTCGGATTTTGAGTTAAATATTTAGGGAAGGGTAAAACTGATTTTTCAATAACAGGTGCAGTCTGCTTCAGTTTCATGAAATACCTGTTTTAAAAACCTGTTCCAATTCCAAGTTGTTCCAAAAATTTAAACTGTTTGTTGTTCCACCTCGATGGAACAGTTTGATTTTTGAATATTTCAACAGTTTCAAGTATATCTGTCACAGTAGCAGTGTAGCAGTCGCAAATTTTAATTCGTAGTATTCCGCAGCAATTAAGGAACAACTTGATAGTTATTTATTATTATTACAGGATTTAAACACCTAAACAAAAAATAAACACTGGCTAGTGCTAGTCTATAAGTTGCATATCTTAACAATAAATTATAAATGCTAAAATAAGCATATTTTTCATGTATCAGGATAGCAGGAGGCGGCAGCAGTTTTTAGATGTTTTAAATAAGTACATATTTTTTATCTTAGAAAGCCAACTGGGACACTAGGAGGGCCTTTTGAAATAAAACTAAAATAAAAACACTATTGAATAATATTTATTATTTAATAATAATTATCAAGTTGTTCCAATATTACTGCTTGCTAGTCTGTGAATGCTATACTGCAACATGCAGCTGTCACAGTAATTAATATTAATGCCAATGCCTAATAACAAGTTGTTCCAGTTCCATGCAATTTGCGCTCTGTGACTGACAGCAAGTAGCAACTGTTTCGTGATTTTATGCATACCAAGTAAAAACCTATTTCAAAAATAACACATAATGCTTCAGTGACACAACCCTATAAATAGTTAGTGTGTGCTGTCATTTATTTGCACAACAAAAATCCATATTGATGACACTTTACCAAACTGAGATATATGAAGAATTTAATATCAAAGCGTAGTAAGTGCCAAATGACAGCTGTGTAGTTTAAGCAGATTAGTTTAGCTTAAAACTACAAAGTGAAAATTGGTTCTGGATAACAGGGCATTTTTGTTTGTTTTATACCCCCGGTGGCAAAAAGAAGCTCTCAAAACTGTATATTTTTTAAAGGCTTACAGAATTCAATAGCCACCCAGACTATAAAAAACTTAACATCAATACTTACTTTTAAAAGCAAGGTTAAGCATTATTGGTTAAGTCTAATTCAGTACTGCTTTAATGTGTTGTGTATGACATGTTAATTAGCCATATGTGACTAAATAAAGAGATATATTACTCTGGTTGCCAAATAGTATTTCGATGAAATAGTGCTAAACTAAACTAATATCCATTTAAATTGTGCCTCTTGTAAAATTTCTAAATTTTCACATAACCTCCTTTTGCAAGTTCATTTAATTCCCAATCAAACCAAGATAGTTTATCTACTTAATATTCGATATTTTATATTAATCTTAAAAAGAAGAAACAAGTTCAATGACATAATATCAGCAAAAATTAATAATGTGAGAGTTTTCGTGGTTAGTCAAAGGTATCCTTAATAAATTGTTATGTTTTAAAACCCAAAATAGCTCGTAAACCATTTGTCTTCTAAAAAACTTTTTTTTTTTTGTAAAATTGTTCACAATTAGATTTTTTCCAACAAATAATCCATGACTGATCTGAAATTAATTTCTCATGTATTTGTTACCTAAACATATTTATATTTACTTGAACATATTCTACAAAAACTTCTCATAATCATACTTCTGCTTCTATTAAATCGTCTTCACTTGTAGATATTCAATCAGATTTTAAAGTATCCTCTGAAGAAAATCCTCTTATCATTTTATAAAAAAAAAACTCCCACAATATTCATCGGCGATCTATGTAGACTCAAACTGCTAATATAAGAAAAGCAAGGTGTAAACAAACCACTAAGGTCAAAACGTACCTGCATTTCGGAAATCACTAAAAATAATTTTCTGATTGAAATGGGCGTAATTTCCTATGAATTATCTATAAACTTTCTTCTTGAATTTTTGATTAACTTTTTGAGGTCAAAGTAAAATTACACGTGTTTGATGGTCATGTACGGATTTGGACTCTTGTTTGAACAAACCTATTAAATACACAGAGTGCTTTACGGTTCAATAGAAATATTTCGCCCTTTGGCGCCATATTGGTTGTACACGATGAAAAAATTTAACTCTTGAAATTTGGAGAATTTTATGTGACGTTCTAACAGATTAAAAATATTTTGTAAAAATAAAAATGTCAAATATATTAATGGTACGACTTAATCCAAAATTTTCAAGTGGTTGTGCTAACCTTCTTCATTCAGCGTGAACCGTTTGAAATAATCCTAATTTTTAAAAGGTAATGCAACGTCACGAAGTAAAAGGTCGCAAGCTTGTTGTAAAGGACGATGGAGGCGTGACTCGTGACAAATCCGGTGCCATCTTGGGCGGCAGAAGAAACAACAACAACCGCGACAATGATAGGTTTAGAGATGATCATCATCGTGGTGACTTGGGTAATAGCTTGTCTCTGAGAAACAACGATGAATCAAAATGGGGCAACACTTACGGCTTGAGTCCCCAGTTTCTTGAATCTTTGAAAATTGATCCCCCGCTAAATAATAAAGTGTTTGTGGCCAATGTAAGTATTCTTGATATTGTGGTTGTTATTGTGGGTAGTAGCGTTCCTTGGACTCTGTATTGCAAATTAAAAATGGATAAATATGCAGCGAATTTTTTTTTGATAATGAAGGGTTGACATAGGCGTAGTTGGCAAAGGTTTAAACAGATGTAAGAATCCAAGGCTTAAAATAAATTTTGAATGTCAGGGAATTTCTTAAATTTAGTGTCTCCATTTTCAAACCGTTTTTTTGGCATGCAATTATTATACGTTCTCTTGAATTATTTAAATTTTGAAGAACTTGAATTTTAATGGATTATAGTAGAAAAAATCTTCCTTATTATGGGCGAAAACGGATTGTTTGGTTTTAAAGAGCTCCTGCATTTAATGTTAAATTATTCTTTAGAATTTTGTGAAAATCGTTTATTGTCATTTTATAGGTTTTTTTTGTCTCTGAATAGAATTGCATATTGGAAAGATTTCATCGTTATATTAAAATTGCTAGGTTTGAAAATATTTTTGGAAGCCTTTTCATTTAAGGATTTAAACATCACTTGAATATAATTCTAAACTACGCCTATGAAGGCTGGATTTTTTTTGGGATGTATCTGCAATTTTGATAAAACTTCTAGCTCAAGTAGTTTAAATACATGACAATTGATATGGTTCACCAACCATATCATGCAATGTGTTCTATGATAGTGAAAGCTATAGATGTTACATCAGTATTATTGACATATAGTTTGGGCGGCAATTAAATATATGAATTCTGATTCTCTGAAAAAAACTTATTTGGATCTTCTCTTGTCCAATATTTTAATTGCATGGAATTATTTTGGAAGACATTTAACGAAAACTTTTATCAAAGGAAGATGAGAAAATCGGTTTAGCTCTGTAAACTGGAAATGTGCATAATTTTTTTGGAAATGTGAAAATATGCCCCCCTACGGATTTAAGAAATGCATCCCCACATCCCCTAAGTAGAAACAAACGCAAAGAAAAATTGAAAAAGCTGTGATAGGGACATTTATTAATTTTGTATGAAGAATTTGGGAATATATTGCCACATTTCCAAAAATTGCAGGAAACTTTTGTTTGCGGTCACTATTAAATTATGTTATACTTGGATCTCGCAATATTTAAGCTGAAAGAACAAGGAAATTGTTATTATGAAGAATACATTTGTACCGTCAATAAGGTTGTGATTTGGTCCATCAAACCAAATTTGGTTTATGTGGGTTTAACTTACTAGATTGTTTTTTTTTGGCATACTTAACAAAATCTATATAAAATTTTTCAAATTTCTGGCATTTATTTAAAAACTTTACTAGTGCGGTAATACTCTTGAAGCATACATTTAAAAACAGGGGCTTGCTTTTAATACATTCCAAAAATGTTGTATTGCTGCTATTATTTTGGATACAGAGTCTACTTTTTACGTAGATATCTTTGTTAATCAAATTATTTGAACTATTTTAATATTTGGCTTTTGAGTTAGTTTGTTTTTTTTTACATCAGTTAATTGTAAAATTTATTTTCTTGTCTAAATTCAAATAACAACTTTTGTTGTCTTTGTGTTCTTCTTATGCTGCTCCTGAATATATTTATCAATCATCAAAAGCAGTTGATGGAAAGCTTATCTTTTTTCTCGGAAAACCAACAAGCCAAATAACTGAAGATTTTTATCTAGGTGTACAAAAAATAAAATTGCTCTTGTTTTTTTGCCGTTGCTTTTTTAGTTGGACTACAATATAGACAAGAAAAAGCTTAAAGAAGTATTCCGACTAGCTGGTCGCGTTATTGGCATAGACCTGCCGCTAGACAAGGACGGTAAGGTGCGAGGTTTCGCTGTCATCGAGTACGACCATCCCGTAGAAGCTGTCCAAGCAATTTCCATGCTCCAAGGTCAAGTTTTGAACGAAAGAACTTTGGCGGTTCGCATGGACAGGGTGAATGAATCTATGAAGTTGCCAGACGGGTTGCGCTCGCTCGGCATGGGATTGGGCCCCAATGGGGAACCTTTGAAGAATGTAGCTCATAATTTGCCATCTTTGAGTAATAATAGTTCAAGTTCCGGTGGGGTGGGTTCTGGAATTTTGGGGGCAGTTCCCAATAATTCTTTGCAATTGGCTAATGCTCTGTCAGGTATGTCGTTAAAATATAATTTTTGTAGGTTTAATAAGTTTTGTTAAGAGACCAGTACTGGACCAACCTGATTTTGACACTGGTCTTCTACACTTTTATATTTTATTTTTCTTTGATGCTCTTTCGAATATTTTGATTGTTTAGGAATGTTTATTGGGTTTATGTGAAAGATGTAATAAAAAGATTGTCGCTGCTAGAGAAGCAATGATAAATACATACAGATTTTGATGTAGTTTTGATTGCTTTTATTAGATAAATAAATTATTTCAAGATGGCCGTCCATTGCTTTTAAATTTGAATTTTGTAGGATATTTTCAGTTAGGTCGAGGTGACATACAACAAACAAGTTGGAAGCTAGAAGAAAAATTGAAAACTTTGAAAGCTGTTAACATTTGTCTTTACATATTTTTTATTTCATGATTAATTAGTAATAGAAAATCAACATAATTTGCCCGTCTGGATGTATTTGTTTGAAATGTAGTTTTTATTATCCTATTTATAGCAGTTTACATTTTTATGGAAATTCCTTTTTGCTGGATATAATATCAGGTTTAGAGGCAACATGGTATTATTTGTGTTTGATGTTTTGAAAAAGTGATGTCACTTTTTACATCTCTACAGTGAAGTCCTGTCTACAAAACCAGAACGATTTCAAAATGAAATTGTCTATACGTTGATTTATATTGTACTAATGCAACTACCAGTACCATTTTTTAACAAATAAGTGTAATATTTTAGGTCTTGGAGGTGTCGGTAACTTAGCCAATCTGAATAGTTTGCAGTCATCAAATTTTACCGGTCTTGCTAATACGTTGTTGGGAAACGGGTTGGGGGCTACTGATCTCTCGTCGCTGGTTCAGAACCCTCTCGCAGCCCAAAACACAGCGACCCATCAACAGCTCGCGGCCTTGGCCGCACAAAATACCAATTCAAACAATTTGGGAAGTTTCAACAACCGAAGCTCAGGTAAGGATATGCAACCACACTCAAAATTATTTCATTCTGTACTGGATTTTTTTTAAAGCGTTAGATTTAATAAGATTGTTAAAAACGAATCCATAATCAACAGTTTTCTGATGCAAATATAAATACATCCCACCTACCTATATACATCAATCATTGCCAGCAAATCAGTATCCATGAAATTGTAAAGATCAAGCAATGTCGGTACAAGTATCTGTGAATACCAATAAATTTAGAATAGGAATTAAAAATTGAAGCATTCAGTGGGAAAAAAAAGTTATTCAGAAAAATGTATTTCAAGATAAACTGGCTATATATTGTGAGTGGTGCAGTCACAAGATAATTCGAGTTATAGTATATTGACTTATGTAAGTTTTAATTTCAGTGGGTCTACTTTAGATGAGTTCAGAAAAAAAAATCTTAACAACATCAAATTATTTGATTCAAATATAAATTTTCCCACTGATTATATACAGTGTGTCCACTTAAGTTACCTTAACCTTCTAACTTCATGCATAATAATTTTACAGGAGAAGCAAAAAACCCTTTCATGTAGATATAAGTAGTAGAAACAAAATAATTAAGGGCCTCCTTTAAAGGAACTACTGATCTAATTTATTATCAGTAATGCATTTTGAAAAACATTCTATTATAAATGTTTTTTGTTTACATTTTGGAGTTACATGTTATACAGGCTTAACTTTTGTGGAGGGAAGCCATGTAATGTATGCTATGCAATGTAATTTTTCAATTTAAGTGCTAGGTTTTGACAGGTAAAATTAGAAATTAATATATTTTATTCTGTAAATCGTAAAATGTAAAAACATATTTGTTTAAGAAGTCTTTTAACAAAACTGAATATTATAACACTAATGCTAATTAGGTAGAATTACATTTTTTAATTGAAGGGAATAACATGATAAGCTGTAACATTAATTTAATAAGGAAACACGTCTTCAAAGGTTAAAATAAATTTCTATAAATACTACAACTTTGTTAAAATGCAATAACTTGATTTTTTGGCTACTTATGGTATTTGTTGGAGAATTTTCATTTAGTTCAAGCTTTTGTAATTTTATTTGTCATGAAGTAAAAATTCATTTACTTTAAAAAGTGCGTCTTAACACGTTTTTACAATATGCCCTTCAATCCTTGTATATCCTCATTTTTTTAAGTTTAAGACCATTTAAAACAGCTGCTTATTATTTGTAACAAATCATTGTTGATAATACTTAGGGGAAGGGGAGGAGGGGAGCAATTCACCCAACCACTTACATTTAGAGGGGAGTGAAGTGACTTATCCTTTGGAGGCCCCCGCTTTTAGTTTTTTCTATCCCTTGCCATTTAGGCATGGCAGAGGAAGAGAAGGGGTTTTTATTTTGTTTTTCGTGCGCTTTGTTATCCATCCATGTAATGGGTGGCACAAAATTGATCAAATGCATTTGATCTAAAAAAATATTTTATCAAATAATTGATAAAAAAAAGAAAATGATCGAAAAGAAAATTAATCGAAAATATATTTGATAGATAAAGCAATTGATTGAAAAATCCAATATACATTAAATTAGTAAAAATAAAAAAAATTAACAATTCGTTTACCTTACCTGTGTGAAAGCAATCAGTTAAATTTAAATGACTCCACGCCGCACAGGTTAGGTAAAGTAGTTACGATTTATGTGAAAAAATATTTACCTAAAATGTCCCGTCGGGAGACAACTCGACCTTACTAAAATGCATATTTTGTGTAAATTAATCATTCATATAGCACCAGGAATTATCATCGGATATCAAATTTTTACAATAGTATACGAGGTTAATTTTTTAAACAATAGCAATAGGGTGCATAAATGAATTATTAAATAAAATATTAAATTACTCTTAAACATTTTAAAATTAAAAAAGCGGTAGATTCAGGTACCTTTTCTATTCATTCTCTGAAAAATGTGAAGATATTTCTCAATAAACAAGTGATACTGGTTTTAACTGAATATCTCCAGTAAAGCGTTTATTTTATTATTTTTTAACCATCCTGTTAAACTGAATACTAATTTATTAAATTTCAGGTGATAATAATTTTGGCAGCCTGCAATCTCAAAACAACCAGAATTCTTTCTCTAGCAATTTAGGAGGAGGAAGGAACTATTCCGGTGGAGGTGGCAACCTCGGTGGAAATAACTTCGGCAACAACTTCGCTAATAACGGCGGAAATGGTTACAACAACCGATCCGGCATGGACAACAGACAAGATGGGGGTGGAGGAAAGAGTTTTTCCAAGAAAATTTTAATCTCTAATGTATATTAATTTTTATTATTGCACTTCAATATAATTCTGTAGTTGAAAATTGGATAGCATAATATAATAAATATTCTTTGTTGCAGTTGCCTCCTACTGCCAGTTACAAACTCCTGAATGAAAAGTTTTCTGAATTTGGGGAAGTTCAGGGGTTTGAAGAAAAAGGTCATGGTAGTGTTCTCGTAACTTACGGATCTGACTGGCAAGCTGAGAGAGCGATCAAAAATTTGGACAAAGCTCGAATAGATGGGCGCATGATTGATGCAAGATTGTATTTTTAAGTCAAGATATTTAATTTATCTTCATTGTCTAGTATAAAATATCAGTTACAATTATTTGTGTACTATGTGATCCATTTTTCAGTCATTATAGTAAGTGCTGTAATTGAATTTTTATGAATTGAAAAAGATGATAAATTTTCGACTTACAATTTTTAAGAACACCTTATCACGTGTATGTTTCGTTTTGTTCACACATAAATAATTTAATTTCAAGTATTAAGTGTTTACACGTAGTGTATGTGTTAATTTTACAAATTAGACGTTTTATTTTTTATTATCAACATATTTGGTTTGTAACTTTAGACCTAAATTAAATAAATACTTAGGGAACCTTATAGCTTTATTTATATCCTCTTCGCTCAGTGTCTGATGGCCTTTCTTTATATATTGAAAAATATAAGCAAACATGTATCACGTAATTTGGTTTATGAATTTTAAAATATTTTTGATCAAAAAAAGGCCATTGTGTATGTTCTTAAACAAAATAAGTAATGAAATGAAAAAAATTGAAAAGTTTATCTCTAGAAGCAAATACACGTGAAATAATTCAGGAATACATTTCTGAATTGGGTAGGGAGGGATAGACAAAAAAAATGAAAAAATTACCCTGGGCGTGACTCTCACTGCGACTCTGGTTTGTCGTTCCAATATAACAACTAGGTTAGGGTCAATGGAAGTTATATTAAATTTTTATATGATAAACTGAAATATTAGTTTTTTCTCTTACCCCAGGAATTTTAAGAAAAAAAAAACGAGGATTTCGGGGGTAATTGGATACATTAACTTTTCATTCAAATGAAATGGGCTTGTTATGAGGGTAAATGAAAACATTTGAGATATTTGTTGATTCAAAATATAAATTCTTTCGAAAACAACGCACTTTGTTTCCAATTACCTCTAGCTAGCCCCCGATTTTTATAGAAGCAAATCTTTTATTAGAAAAATTTCAACAAAACGTTGAAATCTAAACAACAAATTCTTTTTAAATCTGAATGGTAACAGCTCTTAACACATTCGTTCCTAATAATAATAAGCCTATACTATTATTAATTAGACAGCATACTAAACAAGGGTGGCTCTAAGCTAATTTTTTTTAGGGGGAGGTCATTGCCTTTAGCTATTGCAGAAAACGCCTACAAGTACAGTCGAAAAACCCCTATTTTTTGCAATTTTAGGGGTGGTTCGACCATTTCTGCAAGTTTTAACCCCGATTTTCGTCATCAGCGCCACAAAAAAACATGAGTTAGCTTGCAAAACAAGTACAGTCGAAAAATCCCCTATATAGGGGTGGTTCAACCATTGCTGCAAGTTTTAATTCCGATTTTCGTAATCAGCGCCCCAAAAAACATAAGATGACTTAGTTTGCAAAACAAGTACAGTCGAAAAACGCCCCTATTTAGCGGTGTTTTTTTGCAATTTTAGGGGTGTTCCAACCATTGCTGCCAGTTTTAACCCTCATTTTCGTAATCAGCGCCCCAAGATACGTAGGGGACAAGTGGTCTCGTCAAGTGCGGTGTTTCTCGACATTTTACCATTATTTTAAATGGAATATTATATAATAGAATAAAAAATTTTGACGTATGATTTTTTCTTATACTATTGCCGCGTTTGAGAATGCACATCGGATGCATTTTTTACATCTCGAGCGGTTTTTATCCACATAGGTCCCATTGCATCACGTGATCAAAGATTTACTACATCTCGGATGCATCCGATGTGGATTCTCAAACGCGGCACTTTTATAGAAAATTTGTTGTAATATATTTGTTGGGGATGGTCTGACAAACAGTTGCGTCAAGAATAAGAACGCCAGACTTTAATTTCTATATTCATCTGGTCAAAACGCCATCGTAAACTAAAAAATTATGTAGATCAATTTTACAAAAAAAAAATAGTCATAGACTACCAGACCGATGGTTTGTTATTCATCTAATACCCAAAAAGTAATAAAATATATTTTTGTACTTATTGTGGTTGACCACCTTTTTACGGCGGTCGCCGCTTGTAAACCGTGAATTTAATAAATATTGGGAGTCGTGGTCCATACAAATTTTTATCACCAACCTTATATAATTATTAAAAAAGGAGATAACATCACATTTTAGAATGACAAAGTAAACAAACAGAAAAATAAGTGTTCTGTGAATAACAGCGACTACAAAACAAATCAGTTACATATCGTTGTATGAAGATATCTTCATACAACGATATTATTTATATTAGACGGCCATGGCTATACTGATAAATATTAGCGGCAGATATTTGATTTTACAGTGAAATAAAGTGTTTGTTTACTTCCGCAAATCGGTATGGTATTGACGGTTCCCAGACAACACACCAAATCCCAGAGATATCCAATATATCCACAGGATATCAGAAATATTCCGTGGAACTAATATAGATATCCAAATGTCCGTCTATATCCAGAATATAGAAGATATCCTATGGATATTCAGCAAAATATCTAATGAGTATCTCCAGACAATACAAGAAATCCCAGATATATCCATAGAATATATTTTGTGGATATCCAACCAAATGTCCGTCTATATCCCAGGATATAGAAATTCAGATAAATATTTTATAATTATTTTTAGTAGAGGTTCATAAGTAACCAATGGTTATTGAATAACGTCGAAAGAAAATAGAGGTAAAAAATATTCCCAACAATCTGCCTTTGATTTTGCCTACTAAGGAGAAAATCATCCTTATTAGGAATCTTCAGCAATAAATGGAACTTCTCGACTTCAGTCTCTAATGAAGTCTGTTTGTGAAACAATGTCGATCAAACTCAATTACGGCGGGTTAAGCATGAGTAGATACGAAAGTGGTATCGCCATCTATACTTAGGAAGCAAAATCAAAAATTACATCTAGTAGATATCCACGATGGTTTGCGTCCGCGCTTAGACTTTGATATATTTATATTTATAGTGGATGTCCATGGGATATTGAATACACCTTAAAAAAATTAATTTTAAATATCTCAACGGTACTATTAGCCACAATGGCGAGTACAATGGCGTAATTTTTTAATAATTTGCTATATAATTACAATTATTTATGGACATTTGCATGTCTATAAATTACATTTCATGGATATAAAATAGATATCCACCATGGACTGGACATTCAGTGGATATTGGGATGTTCAGTAGATATCCAAAGGATTTGGTGTGCTGTCTGGGTTGGCGATAAAGTATACTATGTTTATGTAGATACTTCATTTACTTAATATGTATTTAAATTTGGCGTCGGTTTGACAACAAAATCCGGTGAACTACAGATAATCATCAACCTTATTTTAATTCCCAGACAGCACACCAAATCCTTTGGATATCTACTGAACATCCCAATATCCACTGAATGTCCAGTCCATGGTTGATATCCATGAGATGTAAATGTCCATAAATAATAGTAATTGTATAGCAAATTATTAAAAAATTACGCCATTGTGGCTAATAGTACCGTTCAGATATTTAAAATTAATTTTTTTAAATATCTCATGGACATCCACTAAATATATCAAAGTCTAGGCGCGAACGCAAACCATCGTGGATATCCACTAGATGTTATTTGATTTTGCTTACTAAGTATAGATGGCGATACCACTTACGCATCTACTCATGCTCGACCTGCCGTAATTGAGTTCGATCGAAATTTTTCTCCTAATCAGACTCCATTAGAGACTGGAGTCGAGAATTTCCATTTATTGCTGAAGAGTCCTAATAAGGATGACTTTCTCCTTAGTGGGCAAAATCAAAGGCAGAGTGTTGAAAATATTTTTTATCCCTGCTATTTTCTTTCGACGTTATTCAATAATCATTGGTTACTTATGAACCTCTACTAAAGATACCCATAAAATAATTTGCTGAATATCTTCTATATCCTGGGATATAGACGGACATTTGGTTGGATATCCATATTGGATATATTGAATATCCACAAAATATATTCTGTGGATATCTCTGGGATTTCTTGTATTTTCTGGAAGATACCCATTAGATATTTTGCTGGATATCCATTAGAATATCTTCTATATTCTGGATATAGACGGACATTTGGATATCCATATTAGATCCACGGAATATTTCTGATATCCAGTGGATATATTTGATATCCACAAAAGCTATTCTGTGGATATCTCTGGGATTTGGTGTGTTGTCTGGGTAATGATTGAATTTTATTTAATAAACTATTTTCTTTGAGACTTTTAGGCAGAGGGGGTCGCTGGATGCGATTTTACGTTTCCGTGTTCAGTTCAAACCGACGTGGTCTTGAAATAAACACGGGAAAGTAATGCAATATTTATAGGCAAACCCGTGTTAATATCGAGGCGCCAGGCAATGAACCACGCACGAATTTGTTTGGAAATAAGCCGTATTTGCTCACATCCAAATCCGTGTTGGTCTTAAGGACGACATCGAAAAATCCACGTCCAACCTACAGCAATCGCTCGTAGAAAAAATAGAGACTTACCTTGCAGTGGGAGGATCTAGTCAGGTAGATCCCCGAAAGCTTATGAAGGCAGAATAAGAAAACGCCTCCGTTCTCATAATATTTCTCTTAATATTAACAATAATCAATATGTTACAAAAAAAACAGAACTTATACCTTCCTGCATAATGAAATTTTTTTTTTTTTTGTGAAAATAATTATTTAAATATAGGTATGTTAGCAATAAATAAATAACTAGTACCTCCTATTCTTTGTTCTGTGCCTAGTTAGAAAACCCCCAAAAATTTGCTTAAAACATTTTAAAAGTAACACAAACTTTTTCGTTTTCGACTTTCTGTAATTTGAATCGCCACATTTTGAGTTATAGGCGGCTGTGACGTTCATTGATTTCAATAGGTATTGTCAACAATGCTCCATAATAAAACAAATAAAAAATAATCTGCACCAGTCACAAAAAGTATCGCATAATCTTAGGTACCACTACTAATTTTCTACTACGAAAGATGTATTAAACTATTAAAACATGTTTTCTATACCTACAAGTATAGACTATACGTACTCTTACCAATTTTTTCATTATTTTAATTAATCACTTTTATATTACTAGAAAATTTAATAAAATTTTGTTCCATTGCTCTAAACGTAAGTTATGGGATCCTTTTTGGGATGAGTACTTTTATGAAGAAAAATTAGGCCATTTACGAATGTGTTGTCCTTTTTGTGTAACGTCTCCATGTTCAGTACCAAGATGCTCTTTGAAATGAAAACGGAAACGTGAACATGTACTTTCATTCATTTCCAAACAAATCCGTGCGTTGGTTATTGCCTGGCGCCTCGAAATCAACACGGGTTTGCCAATAAATATTGCAATAC